TACAATTGCTTCACTTTGCTTGGCACTGGGGGAGGAACCCGGCTATACCATGTTCTTTCTGGGTCAGTTCTTAGTTGTTGTCTTAGGAAGTCATGGCAATGTTGACTTCCACATCCCAGCCACCTCCCCTTATGGTTCTTGGCTGGTGTGGCTCCTCAGATATTGTGTTGTTCATGCCTAAGCGAGTTTGCAGGCAACACTGTGAATACTAAACATTTGAACCATGATGTAAAGTAAACTTTAGGCTGAGGGAGTATCTTTGTTTCTTAGTTTAGAATTAATATACTGTATATGATGTATATAGCATATAAGGTATCTGGGCAGGTATAGAGTTAATTTGAAAATCAGAGAACATCCTTCACCTCTAAAAGAATACCTTGGTCATGACTAGGAACTCAGTACTTTGTCCTAGGTAAAAATAATAATGTTTTGAAAGAATGTATTTAGTCTCTTCTTTGCTAGGATAGGCTTAATATAACATTGAATTATTAGCAAGAAAGACTATAGCTACATATATGGAAGCTCTAGTACTTTTTTAATTAGGGGAGCAGTCTGCTCAAGAGTTGAAGATGTCAAAGTAGACTTCATTCTAGAAGTTGTGTAGAGACACAAGGAGGAAGTTGACCATGGTGTGGAGAGTACCCCCTTCTGTGTCTTTCTTTGTTAATAAGGCCCCAGATCCAAGGGTACAGTATTCCGAGTCCATGGAAACTGTGTTGTAAGATGGCAATGTTCTACCCAGAGAGCTTTGATGTTCTTCCTGAGTCACTGCCCAGAGTGTAGCTTGGTTTTTTGTTTTTTTTTTTTTTTTTGGTTTTTACGAGACAGGGTTTCTCTGTATTGTTTTGGAGGCTGTCGGTCCAGCCTGGCCTTGAACTCACAGAGATCCGCCTGCCTCTGCCTCCCGGGTGCTGGGATTAAAGGCGTGCGCCACCACCGCCCGGCCATTAGCTTGTTTTTTTTAAAAAGCTCATAGGCCAGTGGTTCTCAGCATGTGGGTCATGACCCCCACAGTGGTCATATGTCAGATATTTTGCATATTAGATATTTACATTATAATTCATAACAGTAGAAAATTACATTTGTGAAGTAACAGTGTGATACTTTTATGATTGGGGTCACCACAACAGGAACTGTATTAAAGCAATGGTTCTTAACCTATGGGTAGAAACCTCTTGGGTGGGGAGGGGGTCAAATGACTTTCACTGGAGTCCCTAAGAGCATCAGAAAACATGACACTTACATTATGATACATACCAATAGCAAAACTACAGTTATGAAATGGCAATGAAAATACTTTTTTTTTGGTTTTTCGAGACAGGGTTTCTCTGTATTGTTTTGGAGGCTGTCCTGGAACTAGCTCTGTAGACCAGGCTGGCCTCGAACTCACATGCCTCCCGAGTGCTGGGATTAAAGGCGTGTGCCACCAACGCCCGGCGGCAATGAAAATAATTTTATGTTTAGAGGTCACTACAACATGAGGAACTGAATGAAAGGGTTTTAGCATTAGGGAGGTTGAAAACTCACTGTCATAGACTCTGGAAAATCGGCACGTGAGATCAGTGATAGAAAATAGCTCACCTTGTGGCCTGGGAACTTGATACCAGTCAAGTACAACCAAAATCAGCTCCCATAGAGAGTGCCATGGACGTGGTGTGCCATGAACAATAGGTAGCAGCTGTGAAGCACCACAGTTTAGTTGTATGTGTGTTTGTTTGTTTGTTTGTTTGTTTAAAACAAGGTCTCACTATGTAGTCCTGGCTGGCCTGGAATTTGCTGTGTAAACTAGGTTGGATTCTAACTCACAGAATTATACTTGTTTCTGCCTTCTGGATGCTGGGAATAAAGGTGTATACTGACACACCTAGCTCAGCTACAAAATCATAAAGGAATTCATTTTTTGTGTATATCCAGACTCCTTATGCCAAGATCTTGGTTTAATTGGCATACATCTTTTCCTTAAGGCTGGATTCCAAAATAGCTAGAATACAGGAAATTCAGTGTTATACACACGGTCCCATCCACAGTCTGCTGTTCTTACCTCCTTCCCAAGCTCCCCTACCCCAGGAGCATGCACCTCAGCCTCATTTTAGCCCTTATATTGCCTGTGCATACAGCCCTGAGCTTCATGGAATAAGGGTACAGCTCTCTTCCTTCATGATTGCATCTGGAAGCCACTGCCCTGGGTTGGCAACAGTGGAATGAGTAGTGCAGGAAAGCTGTACCTTCATTTTCACTGTACCTCCATCTGGCCTCACATCTACCTACTTCTTTTCAGGGACATCCTGGCAACTCATTGGTCATCACAAAGAATCTATTACTTTCTCAGCATACTGTGGATAGAAGTTTCTGTCCTGCCCTGTCCTTAGCCTTCCAGTCCCGAATAAACACACAAAGTCTTATACTAATTATAAACTGCTTGGCCTGTTGCTCAGACTTTTTGCTAACAAACTCTTACATCTTAAATTAAACCATAATTCTCATCTATGTTTAAACACGTGGTTTGGTATCTTTTCTCAGTATGGCATTCTCATCTTGCTTCCTCTGTGTCTAGCTGGTGACGGCTCTCTGCCTTTTCTCTTTCTAGCCCCCCCCCCCCCCCGCCTGTACTTTCTGCCTGGCTACTGGCCAATCAGCATTTTATTAAACCAATATGAGTGATAAATCTTTACAGTGAATAAGAGCATTATCCCATGTCAGTATACACAAGTAAATTATCCTTTTGTGAGCACCCAGCATGTTTTTAAAAATTATTACGCTACTGCTTTGAGGAGAGATATGATTCAGCTAGGTGAGTTTTTATTTATTACTGTTGGGATTTATGGTTTTTTCCCCCCTGTTTTGTTTTTGTTTTTGTTTTGTTTTGTTTTTTGTTGTAGTTGTTCATGGGTTTTGGTTTTGGTTTGGTTTGGGTTTTTGAGTAGTGGGGCTTGGACCCATGGCTTTGAGCATCCTAGACAAACACTACCTACCGTATGGCTACATACCCAGTCCTCTGGTTTTTTTTTTTTTTTTTTTGAGATAGACTCACATAGAACAGGATGGATTTGAATTCAGAGCAATCTTCTTGTCTCAGCCTCCCAACTGCTGGGATTATGGGTGTATACTACCAAGGCCCGCTCATTATGTGACTTTTTACACATGCCACCATAAACAAGATGTGGATGACAGTTGTTGCATTTCCTCTAACACCATATGCCCTTTTGCAGTTATACCATCTGTTCCCCATTTTCTGCAACAAGTATTCTTGCTTCTCTTTGCAAAAGCATTGTATTAACATAAGCATAAAGAATATAGCCTTTCCAGGGGTTTCTTTAAACTCAGAACAACACCCTGAAGGCTCAATGCCTGGTAGTAATTTCTATGACTCATTTCTCTTTATTGCCAAGTACCCAGGAGTAGTTATCTATAACCCTGCATGGGCTACTTGTATTCTATCTGGAAACCAGATGTTTTTCTCTTGTTCTCCTTGGTAGATAGCTTCTTGGATTGGATTACTATTGCTATATTTCATCATGCCCAAAAGCCACTTGAGGAAAGGGTTTATTTGGCCTATAATTCCACATCATAGTCCATTACTGAAGGAAGTCATGGCAGGAACTCAGACAAGGCAGGAAGCTAGAGGCAGGAGCTGATGCAGAGGCCATAGGAGGGTACTATTTATTGACTTCCTCCTCCTGACTTACCTTTCCTGTTTTCTTATAGAACCCAGAACTCAGCCCTTAAGTGACCCCATCCACAATGGCTGAGGCCCTCCCACACCAATCACTAATTAAGAAAATACCCTACAAACCTGCTTGTGTCCGGTTGACATAAAACTAGCCAGCACAATTGACCCCTTGTCAACTTGACACACAAACATATCACTGTTAAGCTGCAACCTTTCGTTTCTTGTTCATCCCCATGGTTACACATTAATATCAACATCACAACATAATACATTTTACAAACTTAAATCCAGTAGTCTCACAAATTCCAATTCTTAAAAAAAAAGTTCAGTCTCTATACAATCAAAAATAAGTCAGATACTTTCTTACTTCAAGAGAAAAGAACCAGGACACTGCCAAAATCTGAACAAAGCAAAGTCAAACTCCAACTCTGTAAATAACTGGCTCTCCTGTTTTCTTATAGAACCCAGGACTAGTAATTCATGGGTAGCCTCATCCACAATGAGCTGAGCCATCTTACATCAGTCACTAATTAAGAATATGTCCTACAAGCTTGCCTACAGCCTGTTCTTATGGAAGCATTTTCTCAGTTGAGACTCCCTCTCAGATGACTCTAACTTGTGTCAAATTGACATAAAACTAGCTGACACAATAACTCAGCTTCTGCAAAGCTAGACTGTATCTTGTGAGTCTCTGCCTGCACAAAGCATCTAATAAAGGGTGATGATAGGGCCATATGTAGATAGTGAGGATACAGAGTCATTCCTACCTCACCAATAGGGGCTGTCCTAGGTAGATGTTCTTGTTTGGTCAGCTTGGCACAAGCCAAAGTTATATGGGGAGAGGGAATTTCAATAGAGAAAATGTCACCATCAGATTGCCCCAGAGGCAGGTTATAGGGGCATTTTCTTAGTGAATGGTATGGGAAGGGCCCAGCCTACTGCAGGCATTGCCACCCTTGGGCAAATGGTCTTGGGTTGAATAAGAAAATGGGCTAAGCAAGCCATGAGGAGCAAGCTGGTAAGCAGTGTGCCTCTGTGGCCTCTCCTTCTGTTCCTGTCTCCGGGCTTCTGTCACTAGTTCCTGTCCTGACTTCCTTTCATTATAGACTACAACTATAAGCTGATTTAAACCTTTTCCTCCTCAAGTTGCTTTTGGTCATGGTGGGAGTTTTGTTTTGATTTGGTTTTTGGTTTTTTGAGACAGAGTTTCTGTCCCTGAACTCAAGAGATCCACCTGTCTCTACCTTCTGAATGCTGGGATTAAAGGTGTGAGTCACTACCACCCAGCTTGGTCATGGTGTTTTATCACAGTAATGGAAAGCAAACTAAGAGATTGTCTGCCTGGGCCTTGTATGAAGAGTGAACATAGGTTTTGGCCCTCTCTAGTCTCTGTGTTCAGCGTGTGACCTGGGAGAAGCACTGGGATGGGAAGCAGGCCTCTCATAAACTACTCCTGTCCCCAGTCTGTTATCCTTGATGAATGGTACCAGTACTTGTTGGGGGCCTTTATAGAGAGTGGTTCTAGAACTCCTGAACCCTGACTCTCTGAAGCCTGTGTCACACATTAGTAGGACTGACTGTTCTAGCTGAATGCCTGACTCCTCCTTCCTGGGCCTGAGAAGTCCTCTGTGTTTTCACTGAGTCACAACTGTGTTGGCTTACAAGTTAAAAATAGACCCTAGTCATCTGTTCAGTGACAAGCCTATGCTGACCTTACCAGTCACTAGAATGCTTGTAAATATTTGGAGTTGTTTATGGCTAGAGCCATTTCCTTTCCACGGCTTCCTTGCCCCATCTCCTGAAGCAGAAGGGAGCCATGGCATTAAATGAGTCAGAGCTAACATATGTTAGACAGACTCAGGGTGTCGTGCTATTGGGAACCACTGAAGTTCAAGATAGTTTCTAGGAGCCAGTAGAAGTGGTAAGTGTCTTCTATAGTGACGATTGTGTTGTCCTAAGGGTTCATCAGGATTTACTGGGAAAACCCCAGGTTTGAAATCACATGGAACAGTAAGTAAACAAGTCAGTTGTATATTTTTGGCCCTGGGCCTTGGGTTACCAGATTTTCCTTTGTAAATAGGAAAGGTGTTTACCTTACCATGATGATTGTGAAAAGTAAGTGCTCTGTGTAAAATATGGACCAGAACCCTGGGCAGGCTGTCAGTAATGTGGCTGCTACCATCCTTACAGCAGATATTGCACCTTCAGACAGGATACCTAAAGGGTAGATTAAAGGTTGTGAAAGGCCTTGATGTCCAAATGCATGGTCATAGCTCCCTTCCAGGTGCTCACATTCCTTTTCGTAGGTCTTCAAACACTGCTGTGCCCTTAAATGACATTAACAGCTGCCCAAGTAGGGGACTCTGGAGAAAACTGTGACTGAGCTTAAAATAGTCCTTGTTCCTGGGCTGGAGGGAGGCTCTGTAGACTCCTGGGTGGCAGGTCAGGGAGTATTTTCACCCTCGGGTTTAGCAGAGCACAGGGCAGAAGAAGCTCAGACCACTGACAGTGGTAGAGCCACTTTCTACTGGGCAGGCCAGGCTGTCCCTGCCAGAAGCCCTAGGGTATGTATCCCCTGTCACTTGCCCTCTCACACCCAACATTGCCTGGTTAGAACTTTCTAACTGTTCCTTAGAAAGGACTATGAAAACAAAATGGCCCTGAACAGAGCTGGCTCCTCAGGATTTAGGAATATCAGAATTTGAAATAAGCAGGTCTGACCTCTGTGGGAAGTGGTAAGGGAGCCACTGGAAACTTTTCTGAGGATGAAATATGAGGCAGCTCTGTCCCAAGAGACAGGATGGGCGGCTCAGAAAGAACAGCTGTGCTATTAAGTTGATCTTGCTTCTTGTTAAGTCTGTGTTTTGGTTAGGATTTCTGTTGCTGTGATAAAGACTGTGACCAGAAGCAACATGGGGAAGAAAGAGTTTACTTTATCTTAAAGCTCTTCAGTCACATTCCATCAGTGAGGGAAGCCATGAAAGAGTGCTGCTGACCAACTTGTTCCTCATGACTTGCTCATCCAGGACCACCTACCAAGTGGTGCCACCAACCACAATAGGCTGGGCTTTCCCAAATCAATCACTAAATAAGAAAATGCCCCAGAGGTTTGTCCACGTGTTAGTCATAAAAGATATTTTCTTATTTGTGGTTCCTTCTTTGATAACTGTAGCTGTGTCAAGTTGACAAACAAAACTAAACAAAATTTAGTTTGTGTTGACAAAAAACCAACCAGAGGAACAGTCTTGAAGCATGTCATGGTGTCAGAATGTAAGTATGTCAGAAGCAAACCTGAGCATACCTGCCAACAAGATTCACACAAAAAAGGTCAATCCATCTCTTCAAGGAAAGAGACCTGATGGATCCTTGTGACCAGAGTGAAGATCCTCTACACTCTTTAAACTGTGGCCTCTTCCTTGCACAGGTGCCACCATGGAGTCTGATCACTGCTGACTGGCAGCCACACAGCACTGAAGTGAAAGCCTATCGTGGACCTACACATCCAAGAAAAGGGGACACTATGGCTTCTAGCAACACTGAGACCCAGCTCCAGAGGATCATCCGTGATCTACAAGGTCTGATTGAGTGGCTAGTGAACTGGGCTTGGTTTTAAGGAACTTGGGCCTGTGCCCTGGCTGTTGATAGTCAAAATTCAGCTGTTTCATGTTTACAGACAGTACACATCCTATTGAAACATGTGGTCCTCAGATATCTAGCCTCTGTGCAGCTGGGAGGGCTTACCTCACACTCCTCTCAGAGCAGCACAGCTAGTTTGTAAATAAAATCAAATAGCACTAAAAGTATGGGGACTAGTTTCAGTTATGGGTGCTTTAAACTGCCTAGTTGCCTAGGGGAATCGCCCCTACTCCTTGTTGGGCTTTGATGAGCTTGACTTTTAGGGAAAGGAAAATTCTCATCTCTTCAAGCAGGAAGGCAGGTGAGGTACTTGGAGGTTTTGTGTTACATCTCCCCACACGAGCCCCAGTACCAGGCCTACTACCTATGGGCTTCCTGAGGGAGCCACTTGGGTTTGTAGCCCTTCCCTGTTGGAGAAAGGCAAGAGAGGGGAAGTAGATAAAACTGCAGCGAGACCTTAACGGAATAACAGCATGTCTGTGAATTGCAGAGACCCAAGTTTACCCTATTAGATGACTTCCCAAGGGCCAGACATTAGTAGGTCTCTCATCCCCCACTCTGCCAGGCTTGATGTTTGTAAGCCTCTGGAGCTCCAACACGTTTGCCATAGAGCTGTGCCTGCAGAGGTCACAGTGACACTGCCCTGACAGCCGAGAAGTCTAGGCTCCTGACTGCTTGCCCTAGACAAAAAGTAGAGATCTTATAGTAAAGGCTGGGACAGCCTCAGTGCAGTCCACAGTCTGCATCTGCAATCCAAAGCCAACAAGGTCCAGGCCATTTTCTCAGATTTACTTTTTGTAGTGCTTTGGGACCTCTCATAGCTGATGCATGTTGAGTGTTTCAGATATTTGATTTGTTTGATTTCATAATATTTTGTAATATTTTTTGATGTTTTGGAATTTTGAAACACTTTACTTATTGAACATTCATAATTTAAAACTCTGAGCCGGGCATTGGTGGCGCTCGCCTTTAATCCCAGCACTCGGGAGGCAGAGGCAGGCGGATCTCTGTGAGTTCGAGACCAGCCTGGTCTACAAAGTGAGTTCCAGGACAGGCTCCAAGACAATACAGAGAAACCCTGTCTCGAAAAAAAAAAAAAAAAAAAAAAAAACTCTGACAAATGAAATGCACCAAGATCCAAAACTTTTTGAGTCATGTTTTATATGGTGTTTCATGTACATAAGAAAGACACTGCTGTGCATATGTGTTACTGATAACCTGTGGAATCTTCTCATTTGGTCCTATGAGGTAGGTTCCATTGTTGCTATCATTTTGCAGTGAAGGACATAGGCACAGTGGAGTATCTTACTGTCACAAAACCAGTATGGAACAAAGCTTGGGGTTATACACTTTCAGCTAAAATGTTTAGTGTTTTTTGTTTTGTTTTGTTTATACAGACATACAGAGAAAATAAATGACAGTTTGGTCAAATCTGTGTTTGCCATTGGCCTTTAGAAGTTTTACCACAAAATAGTCTTTTCTATGTCACAGTGGCTAGTTTTCAAAGAAAACCTTATGAATCTATATTAGCTTCACAGAAATCTCACAGTAAGTAGTCTTGAAACCTACATCCTGTCATCAAACCCAACCAACACACAAGGGGAACAAACTGCACACTGAGAGGTGAGGGGACCAATGTCTGCTTAGAGTTCTGCTGTTTGCCAACAGGATCTTAAAATGAGTCTCTGGCCCCTGTATCCTGTATCTGTAAAATGGGGGGTAATAATAAGAGATTTCCTGGATTCCATGTTGTATTTAATTTTTTTTGTCATTTCTCAGTGCTGAAATTTAGATGCATATTACATAACATCTTAGGCTTATTGAAATAAGGCAGACACTCCATTAATGAAAAATACTTGTAAAGGTCTGACCCCTCTTAGGCACTTGTCTTGCTAATGCTCTGAAACTTGTATTTAGCCTGTGTTGATAGGGTTGTAGTAAATGCTTTAGTTTGTGCCAGAAGCTTGGCTCCTGCTATTGAAGAGAAGTGGAACCTATTTAGAGTCTAGTAATAGGTTATGACCACCCTGAAAAGAACTCAATGCTGGTTTCACAGACTGGTCTTTTATATATGGTTTAATTCCTGTGGGGGCAAGTTATGAATGGGAACTTCACACTGTCAAATGCCAAAGACCACCATTTGGGGCCTTCAAAATTGATGCCTCGTTTTTAGGTGTGTTTCTTGTTTAACGAATCATTGCAGAGAAAGTTTTGCCTTATATTTTAACACATCTAACATAAATCCCAATTCCAGGGCTGCTGAAATGTTAAATAAATATTTTTATTTTGTGATTACCCAGAATCGGGTGTTTTGTCATCACAAAACAGACTATCCTGGCCATTTTCTTGCCCTTCACTGTCCCAAGTCTGTTTTGTGATACTGCAGTTGATTAATCTGCATAACAATCATTTGTTGGCTGACTGTGTACACACAGTACTAGCTTGGTGGTGGATACACACATGAATATTTACAAGTTCTGTGTGTTTCTAAGGTGACCATTACTGACCACTTATCCTTGTACTTCCTGGTGTTATTTCTGCTTTCTCAGACTTACTTGTCAGCACATCTAAGATGCATGCTAATTTTAGGGCTGTTAAAGTGTAAGTAGACAAATATGTCTCTCTAGTCACATGTTCCTGTTTGTTGTCTTAAAGATGCAGTGACAGAACTAAGCAATGAATTTAAGGAAGGCGGAGAACCCATCACAGATGACAGCACCAGCTTGCACAAGTTTTCTTATAAACTTGAGTATCTTCTGCAAGTAAGTGGCGTTTGTCATGTGTTGGTTTTGTCACAGTTGTCTCTTGTTCCCTATTTGAGTGACTCTTACCAGTTTCCAGGATGTGGTTCAGAAAGCACAATGGAGCAATTTAGCCCTTGTGGTGAAACTAAGAGTCAGAGCAGTCCCAAGAGCTCAGTCCTCCCCAGTGAGTTCTGGGAACTAAAAACATTCTTCTAAGATTTAAGTCCTCTTAACTGTAGAGTAGGATAGTTACTTCCACCCTTTGAGAACTTGTTCAACCTTGTAGTGTCTCGCCCTTACAGACACAGTATATGTATATAGCCAGGGATAGAGGCGGATTCCAATAGTGCAGACTCTGGAAGATCAAGGCCCATTTCAGAGCCTTGCTCCTCAAGCACGGTTACTGTGGAGCTGGCTGTTTCTGAACCAGGGTTAGTCAAGCCAACATTCTTTTAACGTTTTTCATGGTGTAACTTTCGTGTCTGCTTAACTTGACCCAGACAACTCTGCTGATTGGGAAGTACATACTTTTGAAATAGGCAGGAAAGAAATGGACCAGCAGTTATTTTACCACAGTTGTGTGAGGTGTCACTGTTTGTTCTGGGTTTTGTTTTGATAGTAGCGTATGTGAATCTTGCTCCATAACCAGGGAGAAATTCTATCAATGGTGTAGAAAGATACCTACCAAACTTTACAGTATCACACCCTACCAAAGAACATAGGGTGAGAGAGCTGCTAGAAATAAAGATAGGCATGGAAGAACTCATCTTACGTCTCCAGCTAGTTCTTTGATACCGGGTGGTTATGATGGTGTGCTTTGGATTTTTTGTTTTTGTTTTTGTTTATTTAAGCTTTTCCAGTTCAGCCCATCTTGGTTTTGAATTTGAAAGTACTCAACACTGACATTAATTTGACTTTTTGCATGTATTTTTAAGATAGTAATGACTCTTGAGAGTTGAGAAATGGATAAATGTCATTGCCTCGGTTCCCTTATCATATTGGAAGTTTTCCACCAAATTATGATAGTAACCCTTAAAATAAATATTTTTTCCTTTAACTACTTTCCTTTTCTCCTTCTTGCCTTCCTTTCTCCCTCCTTCCCTACCTCCCTTTCTTTTTCTATTAATTAGTCAAACTAGCTTGCAATACTGGAACTACAACTCAGGCTTTGTATATGCTAGGCAAATATCAAGAGATAAATCTTTTGGGATAACAACTATTCTTAAGTCTTACCAGTTATATGACCTTGAGCTGGTATTTACTAGCCTCAGTTATCACATCTAAACTTTGTAAACTAAAACACTCTTGTTTTGAAATTAACATACTCTGATTTGCTAATTTAAGTAAGACCATCAAGAGACCTCCCTCAGTGCCTGTCCCCAGGGAGCTAGTAATAGTTATTGTGTTAATGGAACAAGAACACAGTGAACTCAGACCTCCTCTCTGTCCCTTTCTTTGCCCAGTTTGATCAGAAGGAGAAAACTAGCCTCCTAGGTAGCAAGAAGGACTACTGGGATTACTTCTGTGCCTGCCTAGCCAAGGTGAAGGGAGCAAATGATGGGATCCGATTTGTTAGGTCCATCTCTGAGGTAAGTGAAGCCATGAAGGGAAGGACTACCTGTCTTCCACTGACCTGCCTAAAGCTTCTTTGTGAATACCTCTTTTACAAATAACCAAATATAGCATGAAGTCTATGGGTGACCAAGAAGCCAAGAAATCCAATCCAGGCACACTGGGCTCCTGTTATATTATTTAAGCTCATGGAAACTACCTGAGTTTAGATTTAGCAGAAATGGGCTAGGTCCTCAATGTTACTTCCCAACTGGGCAATCCATATTATAAAGTCTCTGTTCTTGCACCTTTTGAAATTGTGCAACATTGCTTCCCTTTAAAAAAAAATCATTTTCTTTAGAGTTGCTAAGTCAGGGGGCTTACATGACAGTTCTTTAGATAAAGGCATTGGCTACCAAGCCTGATGACCAAAGTTTCATTCCTAGAACTCACATGGTTGAAAGAGAGAACAGACTACTACAAGTTGACCTCCTTACATATCCCTACATATGCCATGACACATACATGGCCTGGCACACACACACACACACACACACACACACACACGCACGCACGCACGCACACACACGCAAAATAATAAATATAAACCAGAAAAATTTTTAGAGTTGCTAGGCAACTTTTCCAGCAGTTTGCTCAGGAAATTTAGATTTGAAGTGAGGAGAGTAAGGTAGACTCTCAAGGATATTTCTTATCATGCAGTGCTGCTAAGTAACATCCTACATCTAGCTGGGTCCTGAATGCTGTGGCTTTGTCTTACTAGAAACTTCTAAAGAAACACAAATATACCACATCGCACTAGGCACCCTTCTTCCTTTGTGGATCTTAATTTGCAATCCTGTCTCGAGACCTCTGTGGCCGTTCCTTTATCATTTATCTTGGCTGCTTTACACCAAAGCTGGAAGGCCCTGTGTTGATGCCCATAGTAGAGTCTGCTCAGCACACTATATTATGAGTGCTTAAACCTTAGATGATTTCCTTCATACCTCTCTCCCATCCCCATCTCCAATGACTCTCCCTTTCTCATCAGCCCAATCAACCCAGAAGTGAAGTGCACATACATGGAGAGCAAGTGAGCCCAAAATTTGGAGAAAGGTTAGAAAAGTTTGTGCATTTTGTCTCGTCAGCATCTCTGACAAGTGTCGAATCACTTTAAAATCGGCACACAGGTTCTTTGGCTGACCTCAAAGACCACAGTGTTAGAGGGTTGGGTTTTCTAGCAATAGCACTCACGGGAATACCATCTGGAGCCATGGTTTTCTTCTTATAGATGGAAACAGTATAAGCACACCGACATCTAAGGCTCAGTGATTTCTACCAGCTGCCCCCTCTGACTCTGGGCAGGTGAGGAAAGACGACAGTTCTGAAGTGTTGGTCCTGCATGTATCTTTAATGTCAGTGTGGTGTGGTTGGTCTTGTGAGGTTAGTAAGAAACGATGTAGAGCAGTGTGTATCAGGAATCTGGAAAGGTTCCCACTTCACCCTATTCCCCAATTCCTCACCCATTGTATCAGCCCTGAAGCCTTCAATTGTATGACTTTGGACAAGTAAAGTCTAACAGTAAGTTAGTCTTCATTCCTAGGGTCATGAAATATTTTCTAAAACAGTCTCCTTTTTAGCAGTTTTTCTACTCTCTTGATAATGCATTCAGACTTTTTGAGGCCGTGCAAATAGACTTTAAAGAAGTTAAGGAAGCTGTGTGCTGACTTCTGGCTTGCTCATGCAGGTTTTAGTGGCATTATAGGTGATTTCCCAGGGGGCCCAGTTGTTTAACTGTGGTTGAAAACCGTTCTCTGTCTTGCAATGTCACTAGGTGGGAAAACTGCTGGATATTAAGTTACCCCAGTATTTGGTGCTCTATGGTTCTTCAAGTGTAACTAGAATTTAATGGGTCAGAACCTTTTGTAGTACTCCTCGGGAGCCTTTGGGACAGGAGATAGCCATTTGGGCTAACATGTAAAGATTCTAGTGAACCACTTGCAGAGGCTCAAAATGGGTTCTTCTGGAACTGGGTTTCCCTGAAGTATGTGGAGGCCCGCTCTGCTCCCGACACATGGCACAGTCGTCTGGTTTAAAGCAGAGACAGCCCACATTCCTTGCAGGTCTCGTGTCCTATGCTGCTGTTGTGTGCCTTTTCAGCATGGTGTGTATGGGATGTTAAGCAAACCGGGAATTGAATGATGAAAGCTGACCTATGATCTGAAACACTTTTTTTCAAATGTGGTATGTGTAGTTACTTTCATTTGCAGTACAAAGGTAATATTCCTTTTCCTGAAGAACATTTAAAAATACTCCTTTAAAGTAAGTAGCTAGCTCCCTTATATAATCATCTGTTCAGCTAATGAGCTCAAATGTTATCGTTTAAGAAGTTTTACTGTCATGTAGGAGGAATAAGGATTCACTCCTGCTCTGAGAGTTTGCAGACAAGAGTGGTTTTGTGGGCAGAGAAGTCTGATTAAATTCTACCATTATTCCAGTTTTGGAGTATGTGGGTAGGCACCTTGCCTAGCTGTTCTTGGCTACCCAGATGTCCCCATTGTCCCCACTGAGCTCTTTGTTCTCGCCTCACTCATCAGAGAAGAAAGTGTTTGTACATGGATGTTGGCATGGAGGTTGTCCTCTAAGCATCTGTTGAGATAACTATTTGGAAGCATACCTTAGTGCTTTATATCAAGTCAGTCTTAATGCCCACCTCCATTTCAGCCATTGTGACTATGCATGGCGAAATGTCTTATGGCTTCCATAGGTCATGAGGTTTCATGTCTTTTAAAATCACCTCATATTATTTCTTTGAGTCATCAGTAAGAATGACTCAAAGTGAGAAATGCCTCTGAGTTAAAGTTGTTAACTTAAGCTCCTGGGATGTTTGCAGCATTATTGGTGGTATGCCACATATTTCCTGTCTCAATCTAGGGTACCTTAATGTGGTAGACAATAGTAAGACCCTCTTTTGACCAAACTACTGTCATCCCTATCCTACCACATACTGATCTTTAAGGGGATGAGAGGGTGTTGGTTCTGCTTTCTCTACTCAGCTCCAATAGATACCTATAGTAGATTCAATGTGCTTTGAATGCCTGGCTGTTTCTGGGACTGATATATTAGGGTTATGAATCTTAGTTTTCAAACCTCTCTAATGGCCTCAATGGCAGTTCACTTTAATTCACTTGTCTTGGCTGCCATTTGCCCACAGCTTGTAGGACTCTGCATTGCAGTCTCATTGTAGAGTCTGCCCAGCATGCCATGTTGTAAGTGATTAAACCTCAGATGAATCCCTTTATGCTTTTACATGGCTTTGTCATCAAAGTCATTGTAGAGTTGTGGATACTTGGACTTTTCTATGATATATACTTCCGGGTACAAGACTCCTTGGAAAGCTGTATTCTCATCCATAGCACATTGACTAAGTGTAATGAGTTGGCTTATCTGAAAAGAAACCAGCCCAATTAGGAAAGCATGAACAGATACATGAGGGTTTGATGGTTTGATAGAGACAGAGGAGACAAAACATCCTCTGTGTATATGTTTCTCTTATTGGTTAATGAATAAAACACTGATTGGCTGATTGGCCAGATAGGAAGTGATATAACTGGGCAGAAATTTGCCACTAGCTAACCATAGAGTCTGGAAGTCTGTACAGATAGATAGGAAGTAACATAGATAGGCAGAATCAGGATATAAGCAGAGACAAACAGGAAATCGCTCTCTTTTCTGTGGAGACCCTGAGCAGTTATCATGTTGTAGGCAAAGGAGTTGCAGGTCCCACATTCCTCGGTAAGCCAAGACCACATGTAAATACATGGATTAATAGAAATGGGGATTAATAGAAGACAGAGCTAGCCAATAAGAAACCGTAGTCACTGGCCAACAGATTTATAACTAATATAATGTCCATGTGTTCATTTGGGGCAAGGGCCACAGGACCAGACGGGCCAGAAAACTCATGCTTACAGAGCTCCTCTTACCCAATTCCACTTTTTTTATTCTCCCCCCTTTCTACACATGTCCCAACCAAGCCACTGAGGCCTCTCTCTCCCTGAGCCTGACCCCCTAGTACCTTAAGCCCAGCACCAACCAAGTTTACCATCCCTTCCTCCTATAGTTTCTATGTGAGAAGCCCTTCAGTTACCTCCAGGTTTCATACCTTACTCCAGATTAAATCAAGGAGTTTCCTGTCCGACTCAGAGATTCTGATAGGAAGAAGAGCGAGAGTGACTCCATTCAAGGTGCAGGTGTTTGACTCCCATCCACATATCTTTCTTCACATGTTTGCTGCAGAGTAGTCTCAGATGGAGGCCTGTGATAAGCCCACCCACTTCACGCTTCACTCTAGAGTGACAGTGCCAGATGTTTCATGTCCTTTGATGGGTATGAGGGCTGCTGGTGTCAGAGTAGGGTTGGATGGCATGTTCTGTCCTATTTTGTGGCCTTTGCTAATTCTCCGTGAGGAGGTGTTTATCTCGATGTAATCTGTGTTTTCAGCTCCGAACATCTCTGGGAAAAGGCAGAGCTTTCATTCGCTACTCTTTGGTGCACCAGAGGTTGGCAGACACTTTGCAGCAGTGCTTCATGAACACTAAAGTGACCAGGTAATTGCAAGACTGTGCTGGGCGTAACCCAATAGCACTGATGAACAGAAATTATGTCGGACAAGCCAGAACGCCAGTGGCAGGTGCCTCTGGTTTCTTCTACAGCCATTATTCTTACCAGTCTTTGAGCACATAGGGTAAAAGTGGTAAAGAGGGGGAATACCACCTTTTTGTAGTTCTCTCATGTTCCCAACTGTGGTACTAGAGCTTAGAGCCAGAGCTCTTCACTCCTGGTACCACATGTCTTTTCCTGATGGGTGGTGGCTCATTGGAGCCAGTGTTCCTTTGCTTCCCTCAAGAGTTGCCCGTGTGGTTCTCCTTTACTCAGCCTGGACCCCCACCTACCACAGAGCCAATGCCCATCAGCATATCATGGCTCCTTGGAGACCTTAGGGCAGCTGCTGTGAGTGCTCTGGACCTCATAAGTGCTGCAGCCTCACCAGGAAACAGTAAGAGAAAGAGAGAGGTGGGCCTGAGGAGTGAAAGTAAGGGAGCGTCAGATCGTTTTCTATGCCTCTCACTAGACATTTGAGTTAATGAAAGAAAGGACTTTTGAATTTAAAAATAACAAGCAAATGTTTAGCTTTATTCTGTTGCCTTTAAGGCTGATTGCATTCTTACACATGTGGCAGGCTTGTGAGTTAAAAACATTTATACATTTGATTTGAAGAGTATATTATTCTAGGTATGTGGTAAAGACTGCCATAAACAATTTAGTATCACAGACCACAAATATGAGCCAAGTAATTAATTCTTTAGACTTATCAGTACTATATTGTAAACTTATTGCTTCGTGTGAAATGGATAAGCCACAATAACAATGCACATATAACATTTCTGAATAGACATTTGTTCCTTGACTTTTAATGTCTGAACAGAAGTTAGAAGTGAGCCCAGTGTGTCTTGTTGGATTCTGTGAAAGGAATAAAAGCTGAGGTTATCTTGCCCTACAGTTACCCTTTCTTGGCAAGTCACTAAGATTTAAGTATCTCAAATTCTTTGCAGAAAAAAAAGGTATTATATAAATAAACATCCAGATAATTGCAACAGTTTCTTTGAAACAAAGATAGCTTATTTGAGAACCTATGGTTCACCAGTGAAAGATAAAATGGTTTGCTCATTTATTTATTTTTATTTATTAAAATAGGTTACTGGGTTTGATGAAGCAGAACCATACAGGACAGTTTGAGTAGATTCATTCTTTGCTTATCCTTGTTTCTCCTCAATTCACACAGTGTATGTTTTCTGCAGTGACTGGTATTATGCAAGAAGCCCCTTTCTGAAGCCAAAGCTGAGCTCTGACATTGTGGGCCAACTATATGAGCTGACTGAGGTTCAGTTTGATCTAGCATCAAGGGGCTACGACCTGGATGCCGCCTGGCCGACATTTGCCAGGTACTTTGGAGAACTGCTTTCTTTAAAAAGTTAAGGAAAGAGATGTTCAATGTTTTGAAAACAGCCACCCATCTGCCCAGCCATTTTGCTTGCTCAGTTAATTGCATATAGCTTCACAACTAATTTTTTTCTGCCTTCCCCATTTATTTATTCAGTTATCTCAGTATTGACTTGTGTTTTTTTTTTTTTTTTTGGTGGTGGTGGGTTTTTTGGTTTTGTTTGAGGAATTGTCTTGTTCTGTTGTTGTTCAGTGGATTACATTCTGTTATTATTTTTTAGCTTAACTTGGACATATTTGCCCAATGGGAGACCTTTCAGGCTGATACTTATACTTTCTTCTGTATGATACATTCTTTTTTTTTTTTTTTTTTAGAAATAAAACACTGTAGCTCTAACTAAGGCCCCACCTTCCTGCTGTCTTTTTCCCTTCTTCCTCTCTAGAAGTGAACACAGCACTATGGTTGAAGCATGTCAATAGCAAGGCTTTGTTTTCACTATATGTATTTTTATGTATATGTAAATCTTTTATGATAATACCTACATTCTATATAATTTCAGAATGTTATGCACAGTGAATCATGAGGAAGCTATTATTTCATACTTGCCTTTTTAATTTCACATTGTTTAGCTTCACTTGTGTTTACACTTGTGATTCTATGGCTGTAGGGTAGGAGCAACTATGTGAAGCAACTTGGCCCATCTCTTTACATATTCTGTGACAGATTTCATGCAGTAGTAGTTGTGATGCAGACTGTTTACTTCACAAGCTCAAAATATTTACAGATTAACAGACCCACGGTGTAGAATATTCTACTGTATAAGTAACCATAACCAGGTGTGACATCCTGGTGGAGTTAGACTTGTTCCACCTTTCCACAGTGATAATGTACCAAGAATTTCCTTCCTGCATCCTCCCTCCTCACATCTCACACATGTGTGCAATTGTGTGGCCCTCTTGACTAAGGTCCTTGCTAGGCTGAGGGGACTAATAGGTTTGACAGTTCAAAAACTATAGGTTGTTTCTGGTAGGGTGAGATTAGATTACAATGTTCCTGTGAATTGAGAGTTATCTCATAAGCCTCTTGTGTTTCAGACCCATACCATCCAGTAGAACTTTGTTCAGCAAAGGAGATCTTGTATAGTTGCCCGGTCCAGTATGTCCACATGAAGTGCAATCAGGTCTTTGACTACATTGTAGATGAGCCTCTCTGTACAGTAGGACTTAAAAACAAAAAACAAACAAACAAAAAAACCTAGGTTAAATGCTGTTTTTTCCTCATTGGAAAATAGATAGTGACAGATCCCTAAAACTCAAAGAAACAACTAAAAATTGGAAAATGTATTTCCTGGGATTTTTTTTTTAGACAGTAAAGGGAAGCTATAGTATTTAGATTCATTTGTTTGTGTGTGTTATGTGTGAGTGTATGCATGTGTGTATGGGCATAGATATCAGAGGAGGGCACCAGTTATCCTCTATTCCTTTACACCTATTTTTTTAAGCAAGATGTCTTCCTGAAGCTGAGACTGGAGTTTTCTCTTCTAAGCTAGAACCCAGAAAACCCACATGATTTCTCTGTCTTCACCTCTCTTGGAGATGGGATTTCAAGGGTGTCTGGGATACCTGGTTTTTTACATAGGTGCTGGGATCCAAACTCCAGTCTCCATGATTGCATAACAAGCATTCTTAACTGCTAAGCTATCTCTAACCCCCATGCCATGATGTTTAAACTATAGCAATGTAGTACCTGCCTCAAGCCCATGGAGATTTGCTCTTTGGAGAGAAGTGTGTTTTCCTCTTTGTGCTCCATCTAAGAAAGAGTACTCCTGCATTCATCTATCTATTATTGTAATGAAAAACCTGAGGCAGACTAACTTTATAAAGAAAAGGCGTTTCTAGTCTGGGGATGTGGCTCAGCAGTTAAGAATGCTTCCTGCTTTTCCAGTAGACCCACGTTCAAATGCCAGAACCTATGTCAGGCAGCTTACAACCTCTTCTGGCCTTCCCCCCCTTACACATACACCACACACAAAAATAAATCTTTAAATTAAAAAAAAAAAGAGTCTGAAAGTCTTCCTTTTAGGGGGGAAATAAAGAGGGTGGCTTGTTTAGTTCAGAGTAGGTGTCATATGGAACGGAGATGGGGTGGATTTTATGCAGAAGTAAGAGATCACATGTCCCAAATAGTAAGACAGAGGTTAGAGTCCCATAATGCCTTCAGTCAGCATACCCCCAGTTAATCTAAGGGCTTATACCAGTGACATTTTTAAAAGACTCCATCATCTCTCAGTATCACCATTCTAAGAACCAACATATGAACCCTTTAGTAGACATATTCACATGACATCCAGGCCATATCCTACCACCACCTGGTTGCCTAGAAACTGTTAGCACCACTATCTTAGTGTGTGTGTGTGTGTGTGTGTGTGTGTGTGTGTGTGTTTTCTTATATGAATACAACTGTGTCTGTTTTGTGGCCCCCACAGGAGGACACTGGGCACTGGCTCTTCTGCTTATATGTGGAAACCCCCCAGCCGAAGCTCCAGCATGAGCAGTTTAGTGAGCAACTACTTGCAGGTAATGTCAGAAAGGCTGGGATTAGCACCCTGTTATGGTGACCAGGGTATGTCTTTTCCCCTAGCAACTCAAGGGTAATCTTTTCAATTACTTGTTGTTCTAAGTAGAGTGATATAACCCCCTTAAACTGTATCCTCTATGTCCTGGAATTTAGATTTTTTTTTCTTTTTTCTTTTGGTTTTGTTTTGTTTTAGGAGGCAGGGTTTCTCTGTATTGTTTTGGAGGCTGTCGGTCCAGCCCTGCCTCGAACTCACAGAGATCCGCCTGCCTCTGCCTCCCGAGTGCTGGGATTAAAGGCGTGTACCACCACCGACCGGTGGAATTTAGATTTTTATAGCCAGATAAAATTTAGGTTCTTTTAAAACTAAACTCTTAAAATATTTTTAAAGTATCATACAAGATACAGGTTATCACTGAAGTTAGAATTGACCCTGCCACCTACCAGCATTCAGCTAAGGGGAAATTACTTAACTTAGAAGCTTCAGCTCTTTCTTCTGTAAGAGGGGTAGTGAAACCACCCTGGTCCTAAGTGGAGGAGCAAGTGAAAGGGTGCTTAAGAACACTGGATCGGGAAGTACTGAAAATGTGAGCCTGTTGTAGCTATAGAATAGAAATTTATTTGCTCACTATATATAAAGTATTCAAAATAGAAAAGATGAGCAGGGCGTGGTGGTATACACCTTTGATCACAGCACTCGGGAGGCAGAGGCAGGCAGATCTCTGGGCAGCCAGCTTGGTCTACAGATCGAGTTCCTGGATGGCCAGAGCTACACAGAGAAACCATGACTCAAAAAACTGATTAGATAGACAGACAGACAGACAGATGAGGACTGCTATGGGTATAATACACTGGGTTAACCATAATTTCAGTGTAACTGAGTTTAGATTTTCTTTTTTTGTTTTTTGTTTTACAAGACAGGGTTTCTCTGTATTGTTTTGGAGACTGTCGGTCCAGCCTGGCCTCGAATTCACAGAGATCCGCCTGCCTCTGCCTCCCGAGTGCTGGGATTAAAGGCGTGTGCCACCACCGCCCAGCTGAGTTTAGATTTTCTAAGAACCAATGTCCTTTAAATTCATAAAGCTGATAGAGCCTGGCTAGAGATGTAACTCTGCTTATCAGAGGAGTTTGTGGGGCCCTGAATGTGCTTGGACCTTGTGGCAGGTTCTAGTTTTTAGAATAGCTTTAAAAGCTTGTCCTAAGTTAGGTAATCCCTTTGTTTTTGCTTCTACTTTCATTTAACACAAAAACTTATCCAAATCACTGGGCAGCTTCATTCTGAAATCTCCTGTCTTTTACTTCCTCCTAGACTCAGGAGATGGCCTCCGGGTTTGACATAAACAATCCTCTCAACAATGAAGGACTTGAAGGTTTTGATGAGATGCGGCTAGAGCTGGACCAGTTGGAGGTTCGGGAGAAACAGCTACAAGAACATGTACAGCAGCTAGACAGGGAGAACCAAGCACTTCGAGTGATGATCAGCAGACAAGGGGAGCAGCTTGAGGTCGAGAAGGAGAGGGGCTACCCTATGGTGGAGGGTACCATTGGCCTCATGGGCCTGGTGGCAGAGCTTCAGAAGCAGGGGGAGGTCATCCAGGCTACAGTGAAGAAACTACAGACATGTCTGCAGGCCTTGGAGCTGAATGTAGACAAGAAAGAGAGCAACTACTCAGCCCTGCAGCTTGAGACCCTAGCACAGGAGCTTGAGGCTGTAAGAGACTCCCTGGGTAGGAAGAACCAACTTCTAGCCAGCCTTTCAGATTGCCTGGCCAGGGCTGAGAAGGACAGGAAGTTTCATCAAGAGCCTGTTCCTGCTGACATGGCCCTGGAGTTCCAGGAATTAAAGGGAAAGCTTGAAGCCTTGGAAGGAGAGAACACCAAGGCCCAGGAACTAAACATGCAGCAGAGTATCAAGCTAGAGCAGCTGGCTAAGGAGCTGCAGCTGAAGGAGGAGGCCCGGGCTGGTCTAGAGCACTCAGTGAAGGCTGTGGCCCCGCTTGAGGAGGAGCTGTCTGCAAAGAAGCAAGAGTCAGCTCAACTCCGGCGACAGCTGCAGGAATCTCTGGCCCATTTGAGCTCTGTGGAGGAGGAGCTGGCAGAAGCCAGGCAGCAGGCAAAGCAGCATCGAGAAGAAAGGCAGCTACGGGAGCAGGAAGCCAAGTCTCTGACATGGCAGCTGCAGCTCCTAGAGACCCAGTTAGCACAGGTGAGTCAGCTTGTGAGCGACCTGGAGGAGCAGAAGAAGCAGCTCGTGCAGGACAGAGACCGTCTCAGCCAGAAAGTGGGCACACTGGAGCAGCTAGCCGAGGTGCGTGGGGTCCCCCTGAGCTCTGTCCCACCACAGACTGAGGAGATGCTAGAAGAGGAGGTGCAATACCGTCACAAAGAGCATGTAAGCAATACCACAGTGCCAGGGGGAGACCAGGAGAAATTGGGGAAGGTCAACCAGGAGCTTCAGAAGGAGCTGCAGAACATGGCTGTGCGCAACCAGCTCCTAGAAGGCAAACTTCAAGCCCTGCAAACTGATTACAAGGCACTGCAGCAGCGAGAGGCAGCCATCCAGGGCTCCTTAGCCTCCCTGGAAGCTGAGCAGGCCAGCATCCGGCACCTGGGAGACCAGATGGAAGCAAGCCTCTTGGCTGTGAAGAGAGTCAAAGAGACAATGAAGGCCCAGGTGGCAGAGAAGGAGGCCGCCCTGCAAAGTAAGGAGGGTGAGTGCCAGCGGCTGCAGGAAGAGGCAGATCAGTGCCGGCTCCGGACAGAGGCCCAGGACCAGGAGCTCAGGGCCCTTGAGAACCAGTGCCAGCAGCAGATTCAGCTGATTGAGGCCCTCTCTGCAGAGAAAGGCCACCAGGGACTCAGCCTACCCCAAGTCAACACAGCCCAACTGGCCCTGTCTCAGGCACAGCTAGAAGTTCACCGGGGGGAGGCCCAGCGGTTACAGAATGAGGTGGTGGACCTCCAGGCCAAGCTCCAGGTGGCCCTGGGTGATCGAGACAAGTTACAGAGCCAGCTGGGTGTGACTGAGGCAGTCCTGAGGGAGCATAAGACTCTGGTGCAACAACTGAAAGAGCAGAACGAAGCCCTTAACAGGGCCCATGTTCAGGAGCTGCTGCAGTGCTCAGAGCGTGAAGGCATACTGCAGGAAGAGAGCATCTACAAGACCCAGGAGCAGGAGCAAGAGCTGCAAGCCCTGCATGCAGAGCTGTCACAGGTGAGGTGCAGCTCTGAGGGAGCCCACCTGGAACATGCGGAGCTACAGGACCAGCTGCACCGAGCCAACACAGACACAGCTGAGCTTGGCATACAAGTCTGTGCCCTGACAGCCGAAAAGGACAGGATGGAGGGGGCCCTGGCCACCTTGGCCCATGAGCTCCAGGACACTAAAGAGGCAGCACTACAAGAACGAAAGGGCTTGGAGCTCCAAGTGAGGGGACTACAGCAAGAGAAGGAGAGCTTGCAGGAAAAGCTAAAGGCAGCTGAGGAGGCAGCTAGTTCATTCTCTGGTCTACAGGCACAGCTGGTCCAGGCTGAGCAGCTGACCCAGAGCCTCCAAGAGGCTGCACACCAGGAACGAGATGCCCTCAAGTTCCAGCTAAGTGCTGAGATCATGGGCCACCAGAACAGACTGAAGGTAAGCCCAGCTTTAGCCATTTCTCAAGGTACACCTGGTGGTTCTACAATCAGAAGGCCCTGCAGCAAGAAAAAAGGTGAAGACCAGAGAATATCCTGGTTCCATTCAACTTTGGTAGCTCACATTTCTTTGCAGAAATACATCAGGCAGAGCATGGAGAGTGATGGCCTTCATCTAGAAGCCCTTGTTAGTATTCAGGCATATGTACTGGTCTGCCCTTGGGGTTCTGACAGGATATGCCCTCAGCTGTGCACATTCACTATGTTCCCTTTTTAAAGGGCCCTGCCTGCCTCCCATCTTTCTGTCTCTCTCTCTCTCTCCCTGTGTCTGTTCCTTTCTCTCTTTTGCTCTGCGTCTCTACCTATCTCTCTCTCTCTCTCTCTCATTCTCTCTGCCTCTCTTCTCTTCTGATGCCCAGAGGCCAGTCCCCCCCTCTTCCCTCCCCCCTTTTCCCATTCACTTTCCCCAAATAAAAACCCCTCCACCCAAGCTCTGTCACATGGTGTCTTTATCTCTCACAGTGCTTTTTTTTTTTATCATTTTTTATTTTAATTTTAAATAGCTTGTTTTACATGTCAATCCCAGTTCCCTCTCCCTCCCCTCCTCCCACCCCCCATTCCCCCCCACCCCCCACCCTGTTGCCAAATCCTTCCACATAGGGGATATCAGAGTCTGTCATTTTACTCTGGGTAGGGTCCAGGCACTTCCCTAAGAGTTCAGGCTGAGAGAGCATCCCTCTTTGTGCTATAGGCACACGAAGACTGTTTGTATACCAGGGATAGACACTGATCCACAGCTCAGGGCCCCATAGGTTGCCCAGGCCTTCTCGCTGACACTCACATTTGGGGGGTCCAGATCAGTCCCATGCTGGCCTCCCCACTGTCAGTCTGGGGTCCAAGAGCTCTCCCCTGTTCAGATCAGCTGTCTCTGCTGGTTTTGCCAGCCCATTCTTTGCCAATTTGCTCATCACTCCTCTCTCTCTGCCACTGGGTTCCTTGGGTTCAGTTCAGTGATTAATTGTGTGTTTGCCTCTGCTTCCATCAGTCTCAGGATGAAGGCTCCCGGATGGTTATAGACATCAAGTTCATTATCAGGAATGGGCATTCGAGGTGGTCTCTCCACTATTGCTTAGCTTGCCAATTGGTGTTATCCCTTTAGATCACTCGAGGTTGCTCTGGTGCCTGATCTGTATTCGATCCTATGATTCCCTCTTCCCCCTATTCTACCCCCACCCCCTCAACTTCCTGTTCCCCCATGACCAACTCTCTTCCTCTTTACCCCCTCTCTTCTTCCCAGGTCCTACTCCCCCCCACCCCTCGCCGTGTTCCCCATCCATTCAGGGGATCTTGTCTCCATCCTCTCACAGTGCTTTTTAAAATTACAACAGCCCCTACTTTGGCCATGACAGATCTTGGCCCACACAGAACTTTTTTTAAAAATTAGTAGCCAACATTGGCAGATCAGGTGTACACAAATTAAGTTTTATGACCTCATTTGAATTCTCAGCAGATCTAATAGCGCATTTCCATATCCCCACAAGGCAGCAAGCAGCAGCAGCAGCTCAAAGAGTGCACACACCCTCCTGCAGTTTCCCCTTTTGTGTGTTTGTGTACAGCCCCTTCCACAGGCAAGTTTCAGCCTCTAAGCCCTGCCTCATCTTTTGGAGCTCCATCCTCCATAGGGTCACCCGTCTATGACATCTTGAGTCCTGGCTGTAGTGTCTACTAAATAATCAGCTTCTCTTAGTGCTCTCCTGATGGCTGATAGGGTGTAGGGAACTGGCTCAGTTCAGAAAGATTAAGTCCCTTAAAGCAGACGAACCTGAGACCCCAGTAGACCATGGCCTTTGATTCTGCATGAAGAAAGGGGGCTAGAGAATGGAAGATAAGAACAGGATAAGTAGCCACAGTACTTTGATTTCCAGTGCGTATCCTAGTGGGTCTGTACCTAGGTCTCTGTGTTCTCAGCCCACTCTGCACCCTCTCCTGCCCCTTTCTAAGAGTGCCCTCCCCACCCCAAGAAGTCCCATGAGGCTCTTCTGTTTGAGGAAGAAGCTTCAACTCTTCCCCTTGCAAGTATTTTGTCACCAGCAGAGAAGAGGCTTGCTAAGGAGCCATTTCTGGAAACAGTGCAGTTGTGTTTTTAGAAACCATTTGGGTGATAAAGGTAAAGGAGTCCCAGAGCAAGAACCTCTCTCTTATGATGCCTTCCTCTTCCTTCCCAGGCAGCCAATGAAGAGTGTGGGAGCCTCAGGGCCCAGCTAGAAGAGCAAAGCCGGCAACTGGAGATGACTAAGGAGGCTGTGCGTGAACTGAAGGTGGGCCTGGCAGGTGTGCTATCAAGGAAAGGGGATCTGGTCTGCTTCTACTGGATTGTTGCCAGATGCTCCTCAAAATGCAGTCATTGGTTCAGACAATAACCCAAATCTATGTCATGACTCCCTTCCACTCCCTAGACTTTGGGCTAAAAGGAAACTGTCCTTAGTCACCTCTGTTGGAGTGGCACTGGTCCCACTAGTAACCTCACTCCATGCCACTGCACACCACTCAAGAGTGGGTCATAGGCCACAAATAGAGAACGCAGGATTCTGGCCTCATGAGCTGCAGCACAAAACCTTCCCTTAGAAGTAGCTCTGTCAGGAAGTGTGAGTAGCATACCAGTCTCTTCTTCCTTGGAAGGTAAGCTTGTGTCTTCTCCCGGATATCCTATACCAGGTCACCAAGGCAGCCATGGAGGAGAAACTGAACTCTACCAGCAGCCACCTTGCAGAGTGCCAGGCCACTTTGCAGCACAAAGACGAAGAAAGTGCTACTCTTCGAATAAGCCTAGAAAGGTCAGTCACGGGTCACCCACACAGCTGCTGGTGATCTTCAGGGAGTGGGTAGGTGCACTTCTTTCGGAAAGTCAGCTGCTTGGGCTAGATGGGGTAATTCTTCAAAAGTCATGCCATCAGAAAGCACAGGGCCAGAAACTTGCCACAGGAAAGTCAGACATCTTCCTGCCATAGTCCACAGGCAGCAAGGTACCCTTCACTTGGTAGCGCTTTTTACCTCCAGCAAGGTGCACACTAACTGTATACTTTCAGAAAACCAAAAGCAGGCACCACTAGAGCATGAGGCTTTTGGGAGTAACAACAATCATTGATTGTTCTGTATGCTGCATGTGCAGGCTGAGCATCCTAAGCTGAAAGGCTTGGGAGCAGAAGGGCATTTTCATATTTCAGAGCAGTTGGGGTTTCAGATTTTCAAATTAGGGATGTTTAACTTACAATTACCTATTGTGAGAGAGTTTAGTTTCTCCTCAGCTTATTACTCTCAGCTTGAGGCTTGGTGGAGTTATGAACCTGAGCTTACTTCTGGAGATGGGGCCCAGCTAGTGCAGCTAGGGCTTGCTGAGAACAGATTCCTTGGGTACCAGCAGCAAAAGCAAGTTTACAGATTGTCTTAAGCCTGTACCCATCCCTTTTCTCCTGCTACCTGCCTTCCTGCTTGGCTCTGGATTCAGTGAAGAAGCCTAGTGACTGGTCTGTTTCTTACAGCACCTAGCTAGGTCTTGTTTGTGTGATTTAAACAGAGGACAGATTTGAACTGGTGTTTTTAAATACTATAAGAATGAAAGATGGGTATACTATCACATTTTAAAAAACTTTTTATTAATTCTTTGTGAATTTTATATCATGCATCCTGGTTCCACTCATCTTCCCATTCTCTGCCCTTGTGACCCTCCCCCCAAATGTAAAAGTGTAGCCTCAAAACAAAACAAAAAGGAAGAAGAAGAAAGAAAATCTTGGCATGGAAGCTGTAGTGTGGCCCAGCGAGTCACACAGTATAGTCCACACGTCTTGTAAGTGCTCTTGCAGCGGATTGTTGGTCTGGCTCTAGGCCTCTGGCTTCTACTGCTCCACAGATACTGGGCCCTCAATGGGACTCCTTCTGGATACCCTGTTATTGTCTTGTGTCATGAGGATCCTGTAGCTTTGGCTCTGCAGGTCCAGCCCCTCCAGCAGTTCATAGATTAGGTGGATGTGGAGGAAGGCTAACTCATAGCCATGTTTCTGGGCCTGGGTGATAGCTGGGTTGGTCAGCCCACCGTGTTTCCCTCATTGTCACCAGGGTGAGTCTCCAGCACTGCCCCAGCTAACGCACCTGATGCAGCATGCAGCGAGGAACAGGGCCAGCTCTGCTTTCATTCCCTGGTCTGGCTCATCCACACTCACATCACCAGTTCTACTGTTTTGCCTAGGCAGGTTATATGGCCCAGTCTCACAATAGCTACAGTTGGCTAGAGATAGGGCCAGCTCTTCTGTTCTCTTGCCCCCAATGCCTGCCGCAGTTGACGGTGGGGAGTGGAGGCCATATTTCCCCCACCTATGTCACTACATGGCATATGAGAGACGGGGCAGGTGCTGCTCTTCTGCTCACATCCACAGGACTGGCTCACCTGCATCTCCCACCCCTCACCCCCAACAGGGTCAGCTCTAGTGTGCTCCCCAGGTGAGTTATAGGGCTTGCTTCCCCATGTGCAGTAGCCAGTGAGGGGCAGGACCAGCTCTCCGGCTCTCATGTCCCTGGGATATCTTTCCCTCACCCATACCACTACATGGCTGATGGGGGGTTGTTCAGCTCTCCCACTCTCACACCCTCCAGGCCAACTCACCTCCCTCCCCACCCCCGAAGAGGGTCAGCTCTACTGGTAGGGTGCCAGTGAGGTGCAATGCAGATTCTCCCACCCTCATTACCCCGGGGTCAGCTTTCCCACCCATCCGAAGGTGGTGAGGGGAGTGGGGAGGTCTTCATTCCCTCAACCATTCCACCATATGCAGAGGAGGGGTGGGCCACATCTCCTATGTACTTTCATAGGTGCGAAGGGGAAGGGGGATCACCTGCCTTCTGGTCAGTAGGGTCAGCTCTACTATTACACATGCTTTTAATCTCAGCATTTTGGGGGCAAAAGGCAGGTGGATTCCTTTTAGTTGAGGCCAGTCTAATCTAAATAGCAAGTTCCAGGTCAGCCAGAGCTACATAATGAGACCCATTTTAAAAAAACAAAACAAAATGCTATAAGAATGGTTATGTGGCAGTTCTCAGGATTTGTTTTAGCTGCTCAGAGTTGCACAGTTCATCTGCCTAGGATTAGACTTGCCTTGATGTTTTGTGTTATGTGCCCTGAAATCATTTTGTGGACATTGATTACCTCTGATAGCCATGTATTAGACTTGGCTGGAAAGCATGCAAACAGTGTGAGCTTTCTAGAGAACTTCTGTTTAATGGAGTTCTTGCAGATACCTTACTGGGTCATGGTGTTTATATCCACCTAAGGGGATAGTTAAGCTACATGTAGAATGTGTGGGATTGGGCAGACAGCCAGCTCCACCAGCCACTCTGCTGTGTGCTAAGATTCCACAGGGTCTAGAACAGAATTTCAGAAAATTGGAGGACTTACCAAGTAGACAGCCTTCTAAAGACCCAGCACTGTCCTCAAGACAGAGTTCCAAAGACATCTGAGAGCAAGGTCCCTCTTTATAACCACCTTTGAGAGACCACACCTCTCCTTTATGTCCTGACTCTTCATCCCTGCTCATCCTCCATCCCCACCCCATAAACCTTTTCCCATCTGGCTCCTCCCAGCCTCAATCCTGTCCAGGAATTCTTACAGGAGTGGCATGTCTCATTCACTGAGTATGTTAGCATCCTGGACTGTCTCTGCCATCCCAGAATACCCCTTCATGTTTGAAGGGGAGGTCAGAAGAGTCTTGGATTCTGGGATAATGCATAACCTGTGAGCATGTCAAGGCTCACCTTAAGAGGGAAAGGCCCAGCAGCAGCAGGACCTCTCATCGCAGGCCAAGAACCCGGAGATTCCAGGAAGCTAAATGTCAGCGCTAACCAGGAAAATGTATTTCTCCTCTCCCAGAACTCAGAAGGAACTTGAAAAGGCCACATCAAAAATCCAAGAATATTACAATAAACTCTGCCAGGAGGTGACAAACAGGGAAAGGAATGACCAGAAGATGCTTGCAGACCTAGACGACCTGAACAGAACCAAGAGATACCTTGAGGAACGGCTGATAGAGCTGCTCCGGTGAGTGTCAGGCAGCTGGGGACCCTGTCTATGACTGGCTTTTCTTAAGAAAAATAAAACATTTCTGAAAATGGCAGCTCCGTGGAAATGGGCCCTTCTCCTCAAGGTCTGCTGTCAGGGAGCCATATGTCTACAGGATCCAACTAGGCTTTGGCAGTCTTGAAGGCTGGCTCTCCCTGATCACAGCAGTGGTTTGGGGTTTTTGTGTGGATGCAGGATTATATTCAAACTCTGGGTGCCTAACAAAGAACGACAATAAAATGACATTTAGTAACTGGTCATTTCTCCATCTCTTGCCCATCTCCAATGAGCCGCCTTCTCCTCTTGTACTGTCCCATTTTTCCTAGTATGGGGCCCGTGTAGGGACCCAGTAGCAGAAGGGACTCTGAGGGGCCCAGTATGTTCTACTCTTGCCACTCAAAAGTAGCCATGGTGCCTTACTTTCCAAGACAGATGTGGGAAGCTAGGTTTTTATGTGAAATGTCCTGGTTGTTAAATGCTTGCAAGTCAACCCACAACTTTAACTTTTTCTTAAAGGAATCAAATATGCAAGATAAAATATTGTAACTGTGTTTTCCTTCCTTCTGTTCTTCTGTCCTTCTGTGTTTCCTGTGACAAAACACTTGACAAAAGCAATTTAAGAGAGAAAAGATTTGTTTTGGCTCAGGGTCCAGACAATTTCAGTCAGTCTTGGCAAGCAAAGCAAAACAGTGGGATTGGCTCAGTTCATGGCAGTAGGAGTTTAAGGCAGTAGTAATAGTCCCTGTCTTAGCAGATGAGAAAGTAGAGACTCCCCATAACCCACCTCCACCAGCCATGCCTTTGATCCCAAAAGTTCCACAGCCTCCTCAAATAGCACCACTAGCTTTGGGGGGCCAAGAGATCAAACACATGAGGGGTTTCAAACTCGAGTCATAATAATTACACATCATTCAACCTCAACAGGAATCAACCCATGGCCGCTTTTGTTTTCTCACCTCTAGATTGCTTTGAAGCAAAACCCAGATATAATATTACTTATCTATGAACACTCCATATCAAATTTCCAAGACAAGAAATCCTTTTCCTTTGTTTTGCAGTATTTTGGGTTTGTTTTTTTGTTTTGTTTTTCGAGACAGGGTTTCTCTGTATTGTTTTGGAGGCTGTTCTGGAACTCACTCTGTAGACCAGGCTGGCCTCGAACTCAGAGATCCACCTGCCTCTGCCTCCCGAGTGCTGGGATTAAAGGCATGCGCCACCAACACCCGGCTAGTATTTTGTTTTGAGACAGGGTCTTACTATGTATCCTTGGCTGACCTGAGACTTTCTATGTAGATAATTCTGGCCTCAGACTCGGAGAAATCTACCTGCCTATCTGCCTCCTGAGTTCTGGAATTAAAAATGTGTACTACCACACCCAGCATCCAAGACAAGAGCGAGCTCTTATATAAGTATACCTTGAAAAATGAATGTGTCAAGAGACACTTGATAAAACCAAGGCAGATAAGATCTCACTCACTTCCATTTGTGGTAGTAGCAGTCATAAGTGTAATATGCCTAGATCTACTCACTCATTGGAATTCTAGGTGTCTTCTTGAGAAATGTAGGAGAAAAACCAAGTAGCATTCTCACAGTCCAAGGTGTTAGTATATGGCTTCCTAGGGATATCGAGGTCAGGTTCTGTGGAGTAACTGCAAGAACAAGCTGGTCCAGAAGATGAGTCCTCATGTCTCCTTATAATTTAGGTATCCTTAGCCCTGCAATGGTGGAGGCAGAGGCAGGTGAATCTCTGTGAGTTCAAGGCCAGCCTGGGCTTGTACAAAGTGAGTTCCAGGACAGGCTCCAAAGCTACAGAGAAATTCTTTCTCAAAAAACCAAATCCAAAAAGAAAAAAAAATTAGGTGTCCTTGAAAAAAAGCCAGCCATCTCTTATGTTCTTAACCCTTATCCACTTCCAGAGGACCTGGGTTCAATTTTCAGCACCCACAAGGCAGCACAGAACTATCTTTAACTACAGTCCTAGGGGGTCAGGTGCCTTCTTCACACTTCACAGGCACTGTACAGGCATGGTACACCAACATACATGCAAGAAAACTGCAAATTGCATGCACACTTGTAGCAAGCTCATTATCAACTTGGTGGCATACTATTTCCAGTAGTAATTTGTTTTTAGTGTTAGATACCTGAGTGGTGTATCAGTGCTGGCAGTTTTTTGTGGGTGACACAGCCTTTTGTATATACCATGTGCCTTTTACATGCTCTTACATACATAGAGTCAAAGAACCAATGTTTTGGGGTGACTTTGGAGATGTCAGCAGAGAGAGCCTATGTTTTAGATTCCTCAAGTAGGGAAGAGGTCATTTACAAGGAAAGTGATTTAGCTTCTGTGGGTTGGAACATTTGATATCAGCCTTCTGAAATGAAGCAGGGGTCATTCTCTGCTTTTTGTGGATTCTTTATTGCAGGGACAAAGATGCTCTCTGGCAAAAGTCCGATGCACTGGAATTCCAGCAAAAGCTCAGTGCTGAAGAAAAAGGTCTTGGGGACATGGAAGCCAACCACTGCCATGACTGCAAGAGGGAGTTCAGCTGGATAGTGCGGCGGCACCACTGCAGGTTAGCAGCAGGCGTCTCACCTGACTGGAATCAGGACATGACTCTGGGTGAGGGATCTGAGATTAGTGTGGTTACCATAACCATCTATCTAGGAAAAGCACTTGCTTGCTTACCAGGGGAAGCAGAAGAAAAGCAGGACACTCAAGGCCCCCTGAAGAGAAATGTGGGTGGGATTAAAGGAACTCACAGGCATGTGTATACCCCGAGACCAGCAATCCTTTAGCTATTCTTGAGCCTATGGGGCAATGCAGAGGGTGCCGGAGAATACAGATCCTTCTAGCACCTAGGAAAGATAGGTAAAGAGAAAGGGCACATTGGGAATTGGCTACAGCTTAGTGCTCTCTTAAAGACCCCTGCAGACAGTAAATGTGGAATGCACACCTGTAGCCTGATGTTAATTAGACCTTTTCTCCCTGCCTTGAGGGCCTATGAAAGTAAACCGTTCTCTACTAAACTCACCATGATGGTTTTGTCAGAATCTTATGAAATGGGTTTACAGCACACTACACTGAGTGCAGAGCTAAGTCTGGAGAGTCCTGGGCTATCAGGAACCCAACACAGAAACCTGTTCTGGTGCTTAGCAGATCTCAGTGATGCACAATCCATTGTGCACAATTCTCACAGCCTGTGCTTGCTTCCTTCCCAGGATATGTGGCCGCATCTTCTGTTACTACTGCTGTAACAACTATGCCGTGACTAAGCCCAGTGGCAAAAAGGAACGCTGTTGCCGAGCCTGCTTCCAGAAATTCGGCGAAGGCCCTGGATCCCCTGATAGCAGTGGCTCTGGCACTAGCCAGGGAGAGCCCAGCCCCATGGTTTCACCAGCTGAAGCAGGCTCTCAGGCCCAAGGTCAGAACTCTGCCTCCTGGGTTCATAGGTGTCACTGCTTTCTCACTACGGCCAATTAGCTTGAGCAAGCTTCATTCAAACTTAGATGTCTAAGAGATGCTACATATATACTACCTGGTACCAGCCTAAAACTTTCTTATATTATTGGGGTTGATAAGCAAGTAACTTTCCCTTGCCATGACTGAGTGTAATTTAATATGAGTGTGTATACATACACACATACTACAGTAGAATACACTCCATATATTGAAGAATCAGTCCTCTAGGACCTCCTTCCTGATATCCATTATCTGCCCTGTGGTAGCATAAGACCAGCAATTGTGCCTTCAGTAGTCAATATCTTTCTCCCTTTCTCTTAATGGCCAAGGAGAATGTATTCTTTTTGTTCTCCACCTCAGCTACTTCTGCATCCAAATCTCCCTAACAGGTGACCCAGACTGTCTTCTGAACTCTGGACTTTAGGTGTAGAGCCAAGGATCAGAGCTGAGATGGCAGAGATGGGCTTTTCTCTGTTCAGGCATCACTGCTAGCCGCAGTTAGTCCTGGTGAACTCTCCTTTGATCTCAGCCTAGATGCAGCCTAAGAACCCTACAGAACCCTGTTCCTCTCTTCTTCAAATGGTCAGTGATCCCTACCACTTGTGAACGGGACTTGTGCTTTTCACACATAGCATTGGGGTCTTTGAATCTTTCTCAGTCTTTTAAAAACTGAAGTTCACAAGTCCTACATACTCTGGACATGTGTTCTTTATCAGATATGTTTTATAAATGTTTTCTCCCAATTTACAGCTTTTTGAAGAGCAGAAGTTGTAGTTTTGATAAAGTAATATTTATATCATGTTTTATGTATCCGTTTTTTAAATGCATCTAACTTTGTTTTCCCTTGTATTCAAAAGGTTTTTTTCCTTCTAAAACTTTTGGGTTTGAGACTTTTTTTCTTGGGAGTGAAGTTGGATGAGTGGGTGGTTGAGTGAATAGTTTGTTTGTGACAGGGACTCATTTTATAGCCCAGCTCTCGTTTTACTCATTCTTTTAAGATTTTGTGTGTGTATGTAACCAATTTTGAGCTAGTTTGGGAGTAAGGTGATAATATATAAGTAGAGTATTGGATGGTTTTGTTTTTGCTTTTTGTCTAAACTTCCAACATCATTAGTCTATTTTTCTTTCCCTCAGAATTGCCTTTTTATTGAGGCTGGAGGTGTGGCTCAATCAATGGCAGAGCATGCAAAAGGCACTAGATTGAATCCCAGTTTCTCTCTCTCTCTCTCTCTCTCTGCTTTTGGTATATTTGTCAAAAGCCAGTTGCAAACAACAACAAAGTAAAACAAAAAACTTACCTCACATATTTGAGTCTGTATCTAGACTTTGTATCTAGACTTTGTTTCATTCTGTACATCTGTGTGCCTTTTCTTTCCACCAATTCCTTACTATATGGTTACCATAGATTCTATGGTTTTTTTGTTGTTTGAATTTTGGGTTTTTTTTTTTTGTTGTTTAAGACAGAATTGATTTCTCTACGTGTGTGTGTGTGTGCACGTGCGTGTGTTTTGAGACAGGGTTTCTCTCTGAAACAGTTCTGGCTGTCCTGGAAGATACTTTGAAGACCAGGTTGGCCTTGAACTCACAGAGATCTGCCTGCCTCTGCCAACCTAGTGCTGCAATTAAAGGCATGTGCCACCATGTCCAGCTGGTTACCATATATTCTTAATGCATCTTACTGACAAGCAAAGAAAGCCCTCCAATTTTGTTGTTTATTGAACATATAACTTTTAGAATAAGTTTCTCAGTTTCTAAAAATAAATCATGACTAGGTTTTCATTGGGATTTCATTGGACCTAGAGAACAGCTTGGAGAGATTTGACATCTTAATAAAGGGTTGTCCATTTCCATCCATGAACATGATAGAGCTTCAATTTACTCTGGTCTTTGTTTTTCCCTTGGTAATCATTATTTTATACATCTCTTGCCCATTTCCTATCCTTTGTCAACCTCGGGAAACAGATTTGGGAGTGTAATTGGGTTCTTTTTGTCAGTTCTTCTAGTTCTGTGTTACAGAGACTTGAGAGGAAAACATTACCTCTAAAGCAGAAGACAGCTAAACTGTTCTTACTAAATAGCCTAAATTCCCTTGTGCTATCTCACTGTGTACAGATGACAACGAGGTGATACTGTGTTAGGGTTCTGAGATTGCTTGTTTTGATTTCTCTTATTTTCTGTCTGCTTTTTTTTCCCTTCTGCCTCAGACCTTATATTAACATGATACATGTCTATGGGTAGCTGATTGGCACAGTGACCTGCTTATTGAGTGGTCAAGGTTAAACGCAAGATTGCCCAGTGCCTCCTGCAGCTCCCTGGACAAAGAGAGGTTCTGTTCTTCCCAACAGTGGACCAGAATCAGGGAGGGGATGCAAGTCAAACAATCTCTTACTTCAGATTGTTTCTGACTATGTCTAATGGAGCAGGGTCTCGTTGGATCAATATATTTTCTTTGTTAGTTTGTTATCTGATACAGTTTTGTTAGATTTTTTGCTTTCCTTCTAAATAGGGGTCCTAGAGGATGTGGAAGTAGTTGAAACTTCTACTCTGTCTTTGAGAGAGGTCTTGAGGCTGTATATTCAAAATCTTCTGTCGTCCCTCTGTTTTCCTGGAATGTCCCAGTACCTAAATGGAATAGCAGTCAATTAGGAGACTATTTAAGATTTATTCCATTAACTTGTTCTCCATAGCAGCACCCTCACTTCCCTGTGTTATCCCCAGTCTTATGCATAATGGCATGTATGTCTTTTTCTCTCCTGCTTTGTCACCACCACCCAGGAGTAAACTCAGTCTGCAGACCACCAGATGATGCTGTGTTTGACATCATCACTGATGAAGAATTGTGCCAGATCCAAGAATCTGGCTCCTCCTTGCCTGAAACACCCACTGAAACAGATTCAATGGACCCAAATATGGCTGAACAGTGAGTAGATGCCATCTCCATTTCCTAAGTAGTCCTTAAGTGCCTGTTCTTTACTTTCTGATCAAAGGACCAGGAAAATAAGATGCTAGAAGCAGGATTAGCCGTCTCTGCCAAGGGAAGATGTCTCAGAACAGTATTCAGAGTAGGGTGGCTCTTTTTTAAAAAGTGACAGTTCTCAGGAAACATTCAGGAAGATACTGTATCAGAAAGTTCCTAGGAACTGTGTGTGGTGCCCTGATTCAGCATCTTCACTTAGGGTAGTCTTTGGGTTAGGCAACTATGTTAGTCAGCTCAGGCTGCCACGGCAAGAGACCACAGGTTGAGTGACTTAAACCATGGAAATGCAATTTATTGCTATTGTGGAGGCTGGATATCAAAGATCACAGTATTGGCAGAGAAGGTTTCTTCTCCCTTGGTTTGTAGATGGCCACCTTCTTGCAGCATCTTTACATGGTCATCCTGGATTTTTACCTGTGTCCTTTAATCTCCATTTCATGCCAGGACACTGGTAGATTTTTATTTTAATCACCTCCTTAGAGGTCTTTTGCAATTAAAATCATTTAAGATGTACTGACACCCTATGAATCCATGAGACAAAATAAATCCTTCTTCCCTTAAATTACTCTGTCAGGTACTTTGTGATGAAAATGGTAGCTATTATAGGAAATTGGGGTTGTTGTGATTAAATCTGGCTGTGGTTCTAAGGCATTTTGGGGAAGAATGTGGAAAGGTTTGGAAATGCCAGCCAGCAAAACCCTAGAACTCTGTAAACAGAGCTTCAGTGAGCTGTTTGGTGGTTGCTCACAAGACCAGAATGCCACTAGAAATGTACACAATATGGACTGTGCCCATAAAGTCTTTGTTGTGAATAAAGATATCAGGAATTGAGGTAGAGGTCATTTGTGTCATATTTTGTCTAAAAATATTAGTCATGTGTCATTTGTGCCCTAAAACTTTGAGTGATGCTGAACTTAAAAATAATAGACTAGGAACTGGAGGGGTGACTCAGCAGTTTAGGGCACTGACTGCTCTTGCAGAGGATCCAAATTCCCAGCACCCACATAAGATATCAGGTAACCATCTGTAGCTCCAGTTCCAGGGCATAAGACACCCTCTGGCTGTCATGGGCACCTGCACACATGTGATACATATCACCCCATGCAGTATACGCACATACACACTTAAAAATGAATTTTTAATTTCATATGCTCTGGCCTGTGTCCTTTGCTTCCTGATTCATGCCATTTGAACAAGCATCTTCCTCTCACTTTACACTCTGACCAAGCATGACATTCAGGCTGTAAGCATGGTTACTACTCTCTAATTTTAGCCAAGTTTATGAGAATTGGAGAAAAAGCAGAGCAGCAAAACCTAAAAGTGCTCAGCTTGGCAAGAAAAGAAGCGCCATTACATTTGAAGTTGTAGACAAAGCAGCTAAAACTGTTAGAGATTAATGCCATTAAAAGGCTTTGCATTGGGGCAGTAGGAAAGAAAAGGACCCTAAGGGAAAGAGATCTCTCATTAAACGCTTCAGAACATAAAAATCTAGACTCACTTAACTTTCCTTTAAAAAGAGAAAGTCTGGAAAGATAGAGCCTCAGGAGTGCCCTTCTCTAAAATAATCACCTAGAAAGTATTTTTTCAGGGTTAGCTACAAAGACACTCCACTGCTTCAGCTGTGGTCCAAGAAGCCCCAGCCACTTAATCAAGCTGGCAGCAGAACTTGACATTACCCACATGGTGCTGGCTTTGTAGGCATTGCAGAATGTAAGAGTTGCAGGTCATGGAGGTTTACACTAAGGTTCTAGAGAAAAGCCTGGGAGGCCAGGCGGTGTGTAGAAGGGTCAGATTCTCTAGTAGTTCATTAATCCGCTATGCATGAAAATTTGAGGGTAAAGCCTAAATTGCAGTGGAGACCTCAATATATTGGAGATACCATGAATGTAGAACATTTACCAAGGAAAGCTACAGACACCTAGTAAAACAAGTCTAAAAGAGACCCAGTATGTGTAACAGACAAGAAGGTCCATAAGGTAGGGCTAATAACAAGTGTGTCCTACATGCCAGACATGAAACTGGGATTTAATGTTTCCAGTTGACATGTCTTCTTTGCTCTACCTTCATACCTCCCTTTTAGAATGGGAATGTTTTTTTATATATCAGAAGTATGTAGTTTAAAATTTGATTTTATAGGGTGTCACAATTGAGCATGCTTTAAGTCTCAAAAGAGACTTCAAATTTTGAAGTTTCAAACAATGGCTGTTATACGACAGGGCTTTCTCTGAAGCTGAACTGAGTACAGTTTGTGTTGGGAGATGGCAGTGAGGCTTCAGGGATCAGGGGCTAAATGTTTGAGTCTGAAATGTCCCTGGCAAGTTTGTTTTGAATGTTTGGCCATAGGTTTGTAACACTGTTTTGAAGGCTGTGGATCATTTAGAAGGTGTGGCCTGACTGGTGGAAGGAGAAGTCAGAGAAGTTACTGAGGATGAGCCTATGAAAGTTTAGCCTATCCCTAGTTCCAGCATAAGTTCTCTGATTCCAGGCCCGATGTCATGTAATAAGTCTAGGTGCAGCTGTTCTCCATGCCTTCTCTGCTATAATGGGCTGATACTCTCTGAGCCAAAATACATCCTTCCTTAAATTGCTCCTGTCAGGTATTTTATAATAGTAATGAGAAATGTAGCAAATATAGTCCCAAAATTGCTTGGCTAACTTCTCTACTAGTGAAGAAGACTTCTGTCAGCTCATATTGACTCACAGTGAGGTCTCTATCTCCTGCTCAGGATCCAAAACAGAACCAGGAGTTAATTGTTATCTTTATCATTATCATGTTAATTTCTGCCACCTGGGAGGGCTGTACTTAATCTTTATGAGGCTGTTAGATTAGATTTTAGGGGTAAGTGTATCTCTACACTTGTATGTTCTCTGACAAAAGTCACTGAATGCAGCTCATGGGCAAACATTCTCATGGCCAAACCTAAGATTGCTCCTATTTACTGTTGCCCCTATGACTTTGAACCAGTTCTCTCCTTCCTTAAACACTTCTCTGACATACACTGATCAGTAGTCATCATGGTCCCCAGGGTATCTTCTCTTCCTTTAGCAGTAAACTACATTCTGCCCTTGGTACCTGGCAAACTTCATGGATAGAAGAGTGAGTAGACCAGGAACTAGGAGCCCAGAAGGATGCCATTGATTTGAAAGTGTCTTCTCACAAACACCTGTAACCTGCATAAGGCGCCTGTTCTCCAGCTTCCTCCCTCGTCTTTTACCTTCCTCTTTCCTAGTAGGAACAGAAACAGAAAGTTTCCAGACTGCTGACCAGTATGTGTAGTTATTGGTCTTGGGAATCAGGAACTGTTCCAGAGAAAGGAAACTGCCAGTATGCTGGCCTGCTACCACCAGCGCAGATCTGGCATTAGCTGATGGAGCCTGTGGTCCTTTATATCTCACCTGTATGAATGAAGAGCCACCTTTCTACACTGTAGATTGTGTATATTAGCATGTATGGGAGCTTTTCCTTAGCATTCCTTTTCTTCCCATGTTTAAAACTCAATCAAAGATATCAAGAGTCTGAGAAAGTATGGGAAAGAGAGCCCTACACTTGCACCAGCATCCCTCACAGCGAAGTTAGAGGGAAAGGAAGCAATCTGAGGAACAAAGTAATGAAAGAGGAATTAAGCTTTGACCCTTCCTGGAGATGATGGAACAAGGAAGTCTCTAGATCCAGCTTCATTCTCACAGGGAATCCTAGCAGGATCTCCTGGTAACAACTGCCTTTCCCCCCATTCCTGGCTTATCTTAATTGGCGATACTTAGCAGGAACACAGCCCTAACCTGCAGCAGATAGATGTCCTTTACAACCCTTCAGATATGCCTGCAGCCTCTCCCTCAGTGTCCTAGATGCCACTATCCAGATTTCCAGTTGTTCTCAGAACTGAGGGGATAGATAGTTGGCTTCCTTGGCCTCTACCCAGCTCTCATACAGCCAGAGTCTCCAACACCTGGGCTTCTCTCTAGGTACCAGATATACGGGCCGTTCAGGGTGAGGAGCTTAAGCTCCAGACCCAAACAAGCCTCCAGGCCCTGTTCTGGAGAGCCTAGAATCATCTATCCCTCCTTAAGAAAGGTGATTGGAGACAGGGTCTGGGCCAGAAAGCTCCTGTGGGATAGGTGATGTTCCAGACATTGATGCTGAGTTTTAACCATCAGCCTGGACTGTGTGTGTCTACTGTGTATACAAGCTTCTCAATATCTTCAACTTGTAGCCTTATTTTTTTTTTAAAGCCTTATTCAGTACCCAGATTACACGAAATGATCTGAAACCTACCCTCAGAGCCTGCTTGCCAGCATTTGCTTCACGACCACGGCTTTGCGGCCAGAGTGCTTAGCAGGGGAAGTGTGGTCACCAGCCAAGAGATCTGATGCCTGCTATCTCAAAAACGAAACAAGGACAGGATATGGTGATCATGGTTAAAGTTCAAAAGCCACCTTGTACCTGTGTTAACCCAGGGCCTCTGATTCCAGAGGAGCACAGAGCAGGCAGGCTCTCTATGTGGTATAACACCTGCCTACTCTGTGGCCAGTGTTTAGGGCAGAGAGGCTACTAACAAGGACCAGTCCTCATTCGGTTCTCCTCTGAGAAGTGGAGATGGTATTACCAAGCTGCCTGTGAACAACACTAGTGAGTATGGACCTGAAAAATTGAGCGTCTGGCCAAGGTGCTACTTTGAAGGCTCTATGGAAGCCAGAGTGACTGTGAACTTCTAGATTCTGTGTTCCCTTTTATGCCTTCTTGTAGCACCATCTCCTCATCCAAGACACCAAGAATTCCTGGGTGATCAGATGGCCTCCAGAAGGGAGTCACCATAAGTTCACCTCTCTGAAGACATAGCTCTCCATGACCTTCATATATCTAATTGAAGCTAGAACCTATAAGCACTTCTGCCATCTTCAGAAATGAGGAACCCAGTGGGAAGGGAACACCTAGTCTTTGCTCTCAGGTTATGAAACATAGCTAGGACAGTCTGAATTCAAGCAGGGTCCAAGTTCATCCCACTGTTCCCCCAACTCCACTGTAGCACCCTGGCCTTTGATATGATCTGGTGGTGTGAGCAAGAAGGGGAGTCAAAGGTGGGAAAAAGAAATGGCTGAGTGTTTGAGACTTCAAACACCTCTAAGGGAATGGAGCCTGAAGCAACAGCCTTTCCTGGGCCATGGTGCAAATAGCTTGCAGGTCAGACACAAGCCCTTTTTAACTAACACATGCTGTGTGTGTGTGTGTGTGTGTGTGTGTGTGTGTGTGTGTGTGTGTGTGTGTGTGTGTGTGTGTGTGTGTGTGTGTGTGTTTATTGCTAATGGTAATATAGATACAGGAGGAGATAGAAACATTTCTCAGGTGGAATAAGTAGATGCCCAGAAAATGGGGCAAGTAGTGGCTGAGGAGCCAGAGAGAAGGACGATTCTATTGCTGTGTTTTCCTGACAACAGACTAACAAGCTTCTCTTAGGCTGCGTAAAGGCCAGTATAAACATTTCTGTGAGGAATCTGGAAGAGTGAGTGATCCAGTAGGTTCTCTCATCTCATCTGGGCAGATAACTGGTCACGGATAGTCCAGGGAGCATTGTCACCTGGCTCTGTGAATTGGTAAGCCAGGCCTTGGAGAGGCTTTCTAGGAATAGCCCAGGGTGGCACTGTCTCTTGAGTGCTGAGTACTCAACCCTGGCTCTCTCTAGAATACATGTATAGCTAGCTACAGGGCCTTGTCACCTGACTCATCTTCCTTCCCATCATCTTCCTTCCCATTTAGAGCCTGTATCTCCTGAGCTGGAATATTAGGGAAATCAGGGATTCAGGCCCCCTCTATCAGCAGTGTTGCAAATAAAGATGAATGCACTGAAGGTTAACCTTATCCCCCTGCATTGAACAGGCTAGTTGTTTGAGTATACACTTTATCTTACATGTTACATAGCAAAGAAGTATACTATAGCCCTTATGTGTGTGTTTGATAAAACGGTGTATGGGACCATGTGGGTACTCCAAGGTGTAGTCACATTTTGATGTGCCAGAATTCATTTGGCATGCCCTGCATGTTCATAAAAAGTACACAACAGCCTATGTCAGTACACCCACCCATATGGATGGCAGAAGGAACCTCTTCTAGTTCATCTAAGAAATATAACTGCTGCCAGTTTGGAGACCTTTCATCAACAAATAGATTGTGCTGTGGGGTGATTTGATTTTGTTTTGAGACCGGGTCTCATGTAGCCTAAATTGACCTCAAACTTTGTCTAGATGAGAATAACCTTAAACTTTTGATCCTCCTTCCTTCACCTCCTAAATACTGTAATTATAGGTATGTTTCACCACACCCAAATTTAATGTAGTGCAGGGTCCAAACCCAGGACTCCTTGCATGCTGGGTGAGGCATCTACCAACTGCTCTATCTCCACAGCCAATTGTGCTAGATGTTTCATATGTTTTATCTTAAGTCCTCTTCAAATCAACCGAGAAACTTGTGCCATCTCACTAAAAAGAAATGGCCAAAGGTTAAGAGATTTGTTTAGGTCAGGTATCCTGGCCTGTGTTCTTAACCCAGCACTTGAGAGTCAGAGACAAGTAGAGACCAGGCTGGTCTATATAGCAAGTTCCAGACTGGTCAAGGCTATATAGTAATGAGGGAGGGAAGGAGAAAAGGGAAGGGAGAAAGGAAAGAGGAGAGACGAGGGGAAGGGGCTTCAGTGTGAATGCAAGCATGTTGAAAGAGGTTGAGATTCATCTATTCCACATCTTACCTCATGAAAGGCAGGGAGGCAGCCCTAGGCTATTCCTTCTAGCCCCTGAGTCCAGGGTTAGCTAATCTCCTGTACATTCTGTTCAGCCATTTTAGGTAGATGTTCATAATTAGGTAAATGATTTGGTGGTGCAAACACCCAACAAACACCTATAGGGCTATTCACCTGATTGTCAGGATCTAGTCAACATCAATCAAGTCTGGGATGTAAAACCACCTCATCCTGGAGCAGTATTGCAGGGTTTAACAAATGCGCCCTACATCTTGGGCAGGAACAGGAAACCACTGTAAAAGCAAGATTGTTACCATTGGTATAGTCTACTTCCTTCATACACCACTGCCCCTAAAGTTTAATTTTTAACTCCTTTATTCTAAGCCTAGAAGTTAACTGGGTTGTTTTTGTGCTGTTTGTGAGGGTTTATATTGTTTTGTGTTCCAAGTATACCAAATTAAAGTAAAATGTACCTAAATATGAAAGAGTTTGAAAACTTTTAAAAGGTTTTATTTCTTAGCCATGAAACTCATAATATTTGATATGTTGTGTGACAGGCATTGGAAAGTTCAATTTTGGGTTTTTTGTTGTTGTTGTTGTTTTTTAGATGAGCAAAGCCACCAGAGTCCCTCTAATAATGCTGCTTAGAGTTGTTACAGTCTTAACCTCCTTTTTACACATTTTTTATTATTATGTGGACCACTGAAATTCAGCTATTTATTCTGGCCTATTTTCAGTCTCGAATGCTGCACTAATCTGAGAAAATATAAGCATCCACCAATACAAAAGTCTGGAAGAATCAGAGCTTGGTGTCATCCTGTTAGGAACCTGGTGACAGGTCTAAGCCACATAGACCAGCACTTGTGTGGGGGTTTCTCAGCTCTCCACTACTTGCCTATAAAAGAATCTTCTGAACTCAGGAACCTGCACAGCTTTGTTGATGCAGCTCTTCTTCACCTTTTAGCCCCAACCTGAAATGCCTAGAGTTAAAATACTTGAGGATGGAAGAGGAAAAAGTGCTTAAAAATCTCAAGACATTCTCATTTGAACACTGAGGCTTGATACTAAGGACAGGGTCTGTGTATATCTGAGAAGCATTGTATACAGCCACAGTTTTCAGTGACTTCTCCACGAGAGTCCACATGCTATAAGCAAAACCTTTCTTGTTGCATCCATAGCCATTCTCCTAAGAATTCTGATGCTAGCTTCTCCACGTCTGGCCAGGCCTACTACAATTGGAACATACTGGTGGTCTCTACATTGTGGGAGGCAGAACAAGTCTTGGAACTGTCCTCGGAAGACTTCCCCTGACTTGAAACTCCCAAGTAAGGGAGACAGCCAATGTCCTTCACAAGTTTCCAGAGGTTCTTCCGGAACTTTAAGCCAACAAAGGCATAGAGTACAGGGTTAAGGCAGGCCCGAAAGTATGCTATAGCCTCTGTCACAAGGATGGCATACTGAAAGCTGGTCATGTTATAGTACTTCCAGCTTGTGCTCCTGATTAACATGGCAAGATTGAAGGGTGTCTGGGTCAGCAGGAACACAGCCACGACGACGAAGATGATCTTTAGAGATTTGTGCTTCCGGAAGCCTCGAGCATGAAGCAAGGTCTTGATAATACTTGAGTAGCACGTAATCATAGTGAGCAACGGCAAGAAGAACCCCAGAGTCATCTGTGTGGCGAGAACCACAGTAGAAATTGCCTCATTGTGGTACTGACAGATAAACTTGTCCAAATGTTCAACATTACTATAGATGATCTGTGGCAAAGAGACCACCAGGGAGACCACCCAAATGAGCAAGCAAGTGATTTGGCCCCAGATCTTCCACTTAGCCTGCTGGTTAAAAACCTTGGTAGCCTGGACCACTACAATGAAACGGTCCACCGTAATGCCAGTGAGAGTGAGCATGGACACATAGAAGTTCACTGTATACATGCCTTGGAGAGTTTTGCACATGGCAATGCCAAAGACCCACCCATGGGTGCCTGCATAGGCCCAAAAGGGCAGAGTACAGACAAATATCAGGTCAGCCAGGGGCAAATTCACCAGGAACACATCTGTCAGACTCCTCAGCTTCTGGTAGAAAATGTTTATAATCAGAACCAGGGAGTTCCCTACCAGTCCAAAAATAAACACCACCAGGTACATGCAGGGCAGAAAGACCTCCTTGAACATTATGAAGCGTTTGTGCTCCTCCTGATGGTTATCAGTGGAATTGTCAGAGAGCCAGGGATCTGGCTCGTAGTCCTCATCCTCCATGGCGTCTGTTGTGGCAAACATCTGTGAATGAAAACCCAAGAGTTAATATTTGGTTCTGTCTGAGTGACATTCTTTCTTCCCACTGTCCTTATTAACTGAATTTAGGAAACAAATTGTCATCTCTAACCCCACTTGTTACCATGCTCAATAATAGCACTGTGCTGAAGGTAACCATTTCTCACAGAAAACTGCTCACCCAGTGTGAGGGACTCTCAGTTAACCCTAAAAAAATCTCAGATTCCTCCCATGAATATCCTGTAAAACACTCCACTCAATTGTTTAAAAAGAAAAAGATACCATATAATCAAGTGGACATAGTAGCCCTTTGGTTTTTTTGTTTTGTATTTTGTGTGTGTGTTTATATATTTTATGTGTATAGATGCCTGCATGAGCTCTCTGTGTGCAGTGCTCGCCAAGGTCAGAAGAAGACATTAGATTGCCTGAGACTGGAGATACAGATGGTTGTAAGCAGCCATGTGGTGCTGGGATTCAAGCCCAGATCTTCTGGAGGCTGTCTAGTACTTTAGCTGCTGAGCTCTCTCTCCCCACAACAACTATTTGGAAATACAGGCTGCTGTCTGTCAGGGAGACCTGCCTGCACCTGCTTGGGTCTCATAGCAGGTACCTACCTCTCTGCCCTGTGCTGGTCAGTCTTATGTCAACTTGACCCAAGCGTAGAGTCTTTGAGAAGGAATCTCACTTGAGAAAATGTCCCCATAAGATGGCCTGTAGGCAGGTCTGTAGCATTTCCTTAATGAGTAATTGTGGGTGGGGACACTCCCTCCGAGGCTGGTAGTCCTGTGTGCTAAGGAAACAGGACAGGCAAGGCAGGAAGGAATAAGTCAGGAAGCAGCACTGCTCCATGGCCTGTGCTTCAGTTTCTGCCTCTGGGTTCCTGCTCTTAGTCCCTTCTCTGATCAGGACATGTGAGATGAAATAAACCCCTTTTCCCTCATGTTACTTTTGGTCATGATGTTTTATCACAGAAACCTAACTAAGATAGCCGTACTTGGTGTTAAAAAATCATGAAAGCCAAACCAAATGCCCCTTCTGGAGGTGCCCTTACTAGTATCCGTAGGGGATTTGGTGGTGATGGGGGAGGGTGGCAAGAACTATGTCTGACTGGGGAGTTCTTCCTGTTTACTCTTTTTCAGCTGTATAGTGTAAAGGACAATTGATGGGGAAACAAGGAAAAGAAAGCCCTTAGGTGCCCAGAACTGTGACTGGCCAGGGAATTCAGGTGTTGCCCTGACTCCCCAAACCAAACATTTCCATTTATCATCTCTGTCAGTTCATGGGATCTATGCTGGAGCCTCAGATCCTGGAGAATTAAAATGGTGCATAAAGTGACTGCTGAGTAGGTTTGTAGTAAAGACCACATGCCTGCCTTTCTTGCCCAGGACTTCATCTTCTATGGCTGTCATGTCTCTGACCCTGCTCGCCCTCATTTTATCAAGGGCCACAAGCAGGACATAGGATAATGTAACCTGTGACCTGACTGTAGGGACCAGGTTAACCTTGCCAGTATCCTGGATTCATATGCCACTGGTGTGGGTTCTATAAGATGTCTTAAGATGAGCAAGTGTTTGGGCAGAACCTCTGTAAGATTTACCAAGACAAAATATTCACTGGTAAGGTGAGGGTATGTGAGAGTTGAAGACATCCTCCCTTTTTAATCAACATGGTCATTTCTTGCACTGAAGTTGAGTCCTATGAGGAAACAGTGTCCACTCTGATGGTTCTGTAACCTCTATCTTCCCTAGAGCTATAATCCCTTTTCTCACCACCAAGGAAGGACTGTGCCTTTACAGGAAGACTACTCAGTCCCATGCTTAGACCTCTAGGCTAGATATCCAGCCTTAGTAGGCTGGAGTTAGGCATCCTGCTCCACAGCTTTCTGAGGTGCTAAAATGAGGTCAGATATTGGTGTGTGTTATTGACTCAAAGAGAAATGAGTTATTTTTCATCATTTAAAATATGAAATAAACAGCTTTGCTTTCCCAATAGTGTCATCCAGTTCTCTGTGGTTACCTGACTTGTATTTACCTTTTTGTTGTCCAATTTTTTTTTCTGGATAGAACCCTAGCATGACTTTTCAGAAAATGTACATATTCACATTCAATGTTGTGTTGGCAGATAGAGGCTAGACTGTACAAATAGAGTATTAAAATCATTGGACTGGGGAAATGGCTGTCAGTAAAATGCTTGCTTTACAACCATGAGGACCTGAGTTAATTCCCTGAAACTCACATTAAAAAAAAAAAGTGGGCATGCTGGTGTACACTTGTAACCCCAGCACTGAGAGGAAGAGACATATTCCTGGGGCTCACTGGCCAGACAATCTTACTAGCAAGGTGAGTTCCAGGCCTGTGAGAGACCTTGTCCCAGCAAAAAAGGTGAACAGTGCCTAAAGAAAGACACTTGCTTACATATGCACTTATACCCACAAATACACAAATATTCATGCACACTCACAAATCGCTGCCCCTTATACAAAAAGTTTAGAACATTTCTTTACAATCAAAATGTTGACTTATGCAAATGACAAAGTAATAAAACTTTAGATATAATGTAAAAGGCTGATAATAAACCATAATTGTATCTGAAGCATAAAATGTAACTCAAATATTTAAGAAGTACTTTTAATTATTTTGGAAGTTTCATTATATTTAAATTACTGAAAACAGAATATGAGAAAAACATGCAAAAAAAAAAGCTTGAGCTATTATAGTTGCAACAAATAGATGGCACCCCTCATCTTCCTGCTTCCACCTCCAAGTGCTGGAATTGCTGCCACACCTGTCTTCTTAACCTTTTGGGATCACAAACCTCTTTGAGAATCTCATTAAAGCTGTAGCTCTTCACTGAGAAATGATGTCCATGCACCTATAATTCTATAGACTCTTGTTTAAAGAACCTCTCTGATAACATTTATAGTTTTGACTACAGTCTTAAAGGACCAAACTCCATCAGAATTGGCCTTTGACTGGCAGAATTACAAATTACTTAATTTATCTCCTTTTTATTTTTCTGTAGTCTACAGTATATGCAGTTTCAAAATGATTTATACTGCAAAAAAAAGTGAATGGTAATTGAGAGTTACAAAAGAACAGAAAACAAAAATTACTGATCAAAAATAGAAGACCAGCAACTAGACTGTTTTATGTCCCTGGGTGGATCTGGTTACTCTATTACTACCTTTCTCATCCCAGATGAGAGATGCCATGTGTATCTGAATTCAGTAGCTTGCACCGTGTATACAGGTCATACTGCAGGTAGGAATCTGAGAGGACCAACAAAAAGCAAATGACTCACCAATACAGAAGCCCCAGTAGCTTTGTTCCAGAATGAAGTATGCTCGCTCACTGTCTGCCTCTGCTCTTCTGTGATGTGTGGTCTGTGCCTCTGCTCTTCTGTGATGTGTGGTCTGTGTTTCTGTCAAATTCTAAGAGACTTCAGCTAGCGACCTACCCGTCTCTCTATCCACAGGCAGTGCATCCACGTCACAATCTTGACAAGCCCGCCCACTTAATTTGAGAGTCAGAGATGAAGCATGGTTCCGATGCATCACACTCCCTTTCTCTTGCCTTGACACATGCTCTGCTGTTAACACCTGATCGGTTTCCATTTGTTCAGTAAAGGGGAGCAGTAAGAAGATTTGACTTTTGTCTACTGGAGATGGTAGACTTTATCCATTAAAATTACTTTGTTTACTTAGTCACACATATCTTTGGAACATTTTGGGTCTAATCCAACACAAAGTTCATGCTATGGATTAGACTCTGTGTGGATGTCCAGTATGCACCACAGATGTTTCACAGCAGCCCTGAGGGAGGAGCCCTGACTCCTTGAAGGAATAGCCAGCCATTTGCAAGTAGGTCGGGAATGGCTTGTTTATTGACACCTATTGCTGATCACAAGGGTGGGCCTGCGGGCTTGTGTGCTGTGATCAGACCATCGGAACCAAGTCTTCAGAAGCCGAGATCTTAGAAGTGCTGTTGCTATAGCTTGGTTGTTACACAGAAAGGGAGTCAGTTACTGTGGTGGATGTGTCCTTTTGCCACACTGTAACACTAGGCTGTGTGGTGACTGAATGCTTGAAGTATAACTAGTGAAAACTTGGATCTGAAATCCTAGCTTATTTGACTTTGATTAATGTGAGTTTGGACAGAACAGTCTGAACTGAAGACTCCCTCCCACTCCCCTTCTGGAGCCTGGGATTCAGCAAAGTGACAAAATGCAGAGAAACCTCCAAGGAAGACCATAAGCAAGTCATCACAGGCTGCTAGGCATTCCTCAGGTGGAGCTTCTGTTCTTGGCAGCCTAGAGAATTGTTGTCTAGTAATAAAATAAAAATCAAGTTACAATATTTAGACTTGTGACAAATGTTAGAGGCCTAACTGGAAGTACCCAGGTGAATCCTTGCCCAGAGAGGTTTGGCTTCTGATCACTTTGGGAGTAGGGACCTTCTTCGCCTCTGCCTTGTTTCTGCTTCCCTTTATTCCTTTTTTTTTCTTAATATTTTTGTTTTATGTGTGTAGGTATTTTTCCTGCATGTATGTATGTGTGCCATGTGCATGCAGTGCTGTGGAGGCCAGAAGAGTGTCAGATCTGCAGAACTGAAGTTACATATAGTTGTGAGCCACCATGTGGGTGCTGGGATCCAAACCTGGATCCTCTGGAAGAGCAGCAAGTGTTTTTAATGGCTGAGCCATCTCTCCAGAGTCAAAGAGTTATTTATTATTCCAGTACATCTCTGTGTGTATGTACATGTGAGAGTTCGTGCCTAAAGAGGCCAAAAGGAGGCAGGGTGTTGGGTCTCCTGGAGCTGGAGCTGGAGGCAGTCGTAAGCCTTCTAGCATGGGTGCTGGGAACTGAGCTTGGGTCCTCGGGAAGAATAGCAAGTACTCCTAATCATTGAGCCATTCTTTATTCTGTAGTAAACTGGAGTATTGATTACATGTACCTTTGATGACATTTGAGATAGGAAATTCCCTTACACTAAGGTTTATAATGCAGACATTTGTTCAGCATAGACTGCGTGCAATGAGATTCCTAGGAACACTGGGATCATTACCTTAGAGCAATGTTTCTCAACCTTGAGTTGCAGCCCCTTTGGGGGTCACATATCAGACCCCAGATATCCTACATACCACATATTTACACTGTAATTCATAACAGTAGCAAAATTACAGTTATGAAGTAGCAAGGAAATAATCCTATGCTTGGGGATTTAATACAGGAGGAGCTGTATTAAAGGGTCACAGCATGAGGAAGGTTGAGAACCACTGCCTTAGAGAGAAAGCATCACTATGAAGCCAGAGAAGTTAATGGTAGGCAGTACTGCTGGAGCAAGGAATGGAGAGAGATCATTTGAGAACACTGATTTTATGGACTTTTCTTCTGAGAAAACTGCTTCAATGGGAAAGAAAGGACATGGCTATAGAAGGAGAAAGGGTGCCCTCTAGTGGTCCTGCTTGTGTTTCCTGCCATTCTCAAATTTGCTTTATCCCTTAATGCATTTACATGACTACCTAGGAGAGACCAAAGTTCCAAAAATGCTGCAAGACTTTTGAAGCAACGTGAAACTGGAATGAATGCACCTTTGATGAGAGGAAAGTTTGAGACATACTGACCATACCCATGGGGCACTTCAAGAGAGTTCTCCAGGACTCTTGAGACTAGTTCCAACATCTGGGGAAGAGGTTGTGCTGGGCAGGAGACCTTCTTCCTAACTAAGGCCTTCACATGGGAGCAGACTGTTTCTTTCTTGGGCCTTTGTGTCTTCTTAGGCATAATTGTCAGCTGAGGTTGGTTGGATTATGAGACCCTTGAGAGCTACTAACCAGGCTGGGCATAGAGTCCTGGTTGGAAACACACTGAGCTGCAGTCAATGTATCTGATTCTGACACAAATCCTGACTTGGAGAAACAGCTGGAGTTCAAGTCCCCATCCAGGAACTTTTATCTGCCACTGTATTTTAAGGGTCAGTAATTTTACAGGGGCTCACGATGTTCCATGCTCACAGAAATACAAGAGCATACCAGACAGGGCACTAGCAACCAAAGAAACGTCCATCCAAATCCAGCTTGAAGAGTCAGGGAATTTGATGGTGTAACCTACAACTGTAAGGGGAATTGCCTCACCGAGATGCACACCCTAGAATAGGTGAGAATTCATAATAGCTGCATTTCTGGAGTTTTCTGTGCAGCTTTCAGGTGGCTCCTTAAAAAGAGTATCCTCCAGCAATTATTTGCTGCTTTTAAAACCGGGGGTGGAGGAGTAGAGGGATGGGACTTTGAATCTTGTACCTTTCTCCCTCCCTCCCTCCCTCCCTCCCTCCCTCCCTCCCTCCCTCCCTCCCTCCCTCCCTCCCTCCCTCCCTCCCTTCCTTCCTTCTTTGAGACAGGGTCTATCTATGTAGCTAGCCCTGGATGTCCTAGAATACTCTGTAGACTAGGCTGGCCTGAAACTTGCTTTGGCCTCCCAAGTGCTAAAGGCATGTGCTACCATGCCAGGCAAACTGAGTTCTATAATTTTTACTGAGTCTCAAGAGCTCTCTCCTCCATCCAAAAGAGAATGTTTTAATGTGGAAGAAACAGCTAGACAACTGCCTATAAATTCACTGACTTTCTTTTTTTTTATTAATTTTTTTTTATTTTCCATTTTAAATTTAGATAAGAAACAAGGTTGCTTCACAAGTCAGTACGAGGTCCCTCTCCCTTTCCCTCCCCTCCTCCCGTGCCCTCCCCCCATCCCCCCCCCCCGTTATCCCCTCATTCCCCCAGGGAGGGTGAGGCCCTCCATGGGGGTGTCCATAGTCTGTCATTTCATATAGGGCAGGGCCTAGACCCTTCCCCAAGAGTTCAGGGTGAGAGTGCACCTCACATTGTTCTATGGGAGTCCAGAGACCGTGTGTATACTTGAGATGGGTACTGATCTGCTGTCCAAGGCTCAATAGATTACCTAGGCCTCCTCACTGACACCCAGATTCAGGGGGTCTTGATCAGTCCCATGCTGGATTCCCAGGCTGATGCCTGGGATTCAAGAGTTAGCCTTTGTCTGGTCAGCTGTTTCTGGGGGTTCAACCAGCCCAGTCTTAATCCCTTTGATCATCAGTCCTCCCTCTCTGATACTGGCTTTCTTGAGTTCAGCTCAGTACTTAACCAGCCAGTAAATGAAGTTTCTGTTTCCCAGACTCTCTGGCAATAGGATTGTAGGCTGGCACTCCCCAGATCTATGTCTAAAATCCATATATGAGAGAGTACATGCCATGTTTCTCTTTTTGTGACTGGGTTACCTCACTCAGGATGGTTTCTTCTAGTGTCATCCATTTGCCTGCGAATCTCATGATTCCATTATTTTTTTCTGCTGAATAGTACTCCATTGTGTAGATGTACCACAATTTCTCTATCCATTCTTCGGGTGAGGGACATCTAGGTTGCTTCCAAGTTCTGGCTATTACAAATAAAGCTGCTATGAACATAGTGGAACAGACATCTTTGTTATATGAATGGGCATCTTTTGGATATATGCCTAAGAGTGCAGTTGCTGGGTCTTGTGGTAGGTTTATTCCCATTTTTCTGAGGAATCTCCATACTGCTTTCCAAAGTGGCTGAACCAGTTGGCACTCCCACCAGCAATGGAGGAGTGTCCCCTTTCACCACATCCTCTCCAGCATAAATTGTCATTGGTGTTTTTGATTTTAGCCATTCTGACAGGAGTGAGATGGTATCTCAGAGTTGCTTTGATTTGCATTTCCCGGATGGCTAAGGATGTTGAGCACTTTCTCAAGTGCCTCTCAGCCATTTTAGACTCCTCTATTGAAAACTCTCTATTTAGTTCTGCAGCCCACTTCTTAATTGGGTCCTTTGCTGTTTTGGAGACTTGCTTCTTGAGTTCTTTGTAAATTTTGGAGATCAACCCTCTGTCAGATGTGGGATTAGTGAATATTTTTTCCCATTCTGTGGGCTGCCTTTTTGTCTTGCTGACTGTGTCCTTTGCCTTACAGAAGCTTCTCAGTTTCAGTAGGTCCCATTTATTAATTGTTGATCTCACTGTCTGTGCTACTGGTGTTATGTTCAGGAAGCTGTCTCCTGTACCAATTCTTTCAAGGGTACCACCCACTTTCTCTTCTAAGAGGTTCAGTGTGGCTGGATTTATGTTGAGGTCTTTGATCCATTTGGACTTAAGTTTTGTGCATGGCGATAAACATGGATCGATCCGCATTCTTCTACATGCCAGTCTCCAATTATGCCAGCACCATTTGTTGAAGATGCTTTCTTTATTCCATTGTATATTCTTAGCTTCTTTGTCAAAGATCAGATGTTCGTACATGTGTGGGTTAATACCCGGATTTTCAATTCGATTCCATTGGTCTACCTGTCTATTTTTGTGCCAATACCAAGCTGTTTTCAGGACTATAGCTCTATAATAGAGCTTGAGGTCAGGGATGGTGATGCCTCCGGACGTTGCCTTGTTGAACAGGGTTGTT